TACTTCCGTTGCCATAGTTGAAAAGCTTGGTTTAAAATTTTAAAAGAAAACGAATCAAGATGCAAGGCAAAGATACCAAAGAGGCAAGGCAAGATTTGTACAGGGTGTCACATGTTTAACAAACAATATTTTCAGGTTGATTCCTCAGGTCAAAATAAGACTATTTTGTGGTGTACCATCTCTTCCAAAAATGCCTTCACTGCCTTCAGAAATGGGTTTTTGGAAGTTACAGGAAAAATGATTAGGATGAGGTGGCCAAAATGCCCCAAAACTTGAGTTTTAAGATCTGTTTAATAACGATTAATGGTGAAAACAAAACTCTGAGATGAAGGGTAGTCTGACTAGCTTACCCGGAGATACTCACCCATTTCTTAGTATTTCTCAATTAGATTTTAATTTTGCTTTTTTTCCCTCTTTTAGGTGCCAAATCTCATTTTTTCATTCATCCTAATTTCTCCGGATTGTCAATGAAGAATTTGCAACCTTACCTACCTTACAGTATCTGTATGTTGCAAAGGAATTCATTTTCGGTCACCTTATGAATAAGAAATGTTTAAAATATCACAATTATGTTCTCCTTGTAGATAAAAGTGCGTATGTTCTATGAGTTAAGTGCAATTACATCTCTGGTGTCATATTGTTTCTTGGAAACTCAAAGGTTTCTTGACAGCGCTGTTATTTAGTTCCTGTAGGGTTAGTAGCAGTCCAGTGACTCGCTAAAATTGGTCCTTTCATCTTCGCTCTTGTTGAAATTTATTTTGTGGTGTGAAGTACCGTGTCAAGCTAAGATGAAAAAACAGGACAATTTTTCAAATTTATGTGATCAAACTTTGACTAATGTTTGACTAGTTTGATACTTATGTTTGTAGTTTTAAAGACAGCGTTTTCTCCTGGAATCAAGTTCATTATTCAACTGATCCAGAACCAATTATTTATCATAATTCAATCCGCCTTGAAACAATATATTACATGTAATAATTTTGAAGGTGTGGTTTAAGCTTGTTTGATCTCATTAGCCTCATGCAGCCAATCTGACTTTTTTTCTTCTCAACTGAACAACTCCACTCATCTAACAAAATTTGTACGAGAACGAAAATAAAATAAAGCACCAAGAATGAATTAAGGTAATTAAGTTGTAAAATTTTTTAGCTGTTTTAAATAATAAAAATCTCAGGGCTATAAATCATTGGGGAAAATATTGCTTGCTTATTTGTCTTCAAGATTTTACACTTTCCTTTTTTCATTCATTTTTCCGTTCTTCCTCGATTCTCCTTTGTATCTTCTTTTGGTTTTTTCCTCAGTTTTCACTCTGCTGAGTGTTGACTCATCATCTAACTAATTTTGAATGATCATCTGTCTTTGCCATCAATTTCCTTGCAGATTTTCCAGAATTTTTCCCCCTTAATTAAAGCCTTTAAATTTATCGGGAAAACTAGCTAAAAACTTCAGAAAAGTCCCCACAAGTCATAAGTCCTTGACTTTTGCTGTGTTTTGTCTGTATGAATCCTGATGAATGAGCTTCTTTTTAAAAGAACCATATTGAAATAGTTTTCCAATCCACCAAGATTTTAAAAAAAAAATTGGTTTAAAAAATTTGTTGAATTTATGACCTTGATCATATATATTCTGAAACATACAACGTAAAAACTTAAGTTGTCTCAAAAACTTCAAAGTATGTGTCTAAAGCTTTGAAATAAACATTTTTCAAAATCAGAGGCTGGCAGTGATTTCTTTGAGCTAATGAGATCCAAGAAGTAGTGGAAAGATTAATTTTTCTACTGAAAACAGATTGAAAGAACGTTTTAGTTTGACTGGTGACCCTGCTCTAACATGAAAACCGAAAAAATGATTGTTGTGATTAACATGAGTGTCAGTCAGCGACAAGATGAGGTCAACATGTTTTCATAATAGATCTCAAATTTTTAATATACGTTAGTATTTTTTGTGACAGAATGTTCTGGCAGGAGAGAAATGTGTAAAAATCCGACTTATGTAGCCCAGTGCAATCACCAATGTTTCTCCACCATTTCTAAAAATTTCTCCTTGTCATTGAAGAAATTTATTCAAGAATAGAGTTCTAGCATTCAGCAGGGGTTTTCGGCGCAGCCGTTTATCCACCGTAAAATTCCATCAGAAACACAATGATGCCACTGAAGGAGCGCAGCCTAAGCTCTTGAAGTTGAGGCTGTAATAAAGGAGATAGCTTGCATTCTTACATGAGTCCACCTCTACATGAACTATCGGTAACGATTGTCGGCTAAAAATCGCCATCCTGAGACTTGGAAATCACTGCACAGCATGACAATTGTGCTAAGATATTCAGCCTTATCTCTCGATCGAATCCATAGACAACTACAGGTTTCTCCAAAAGACGCAGGCCATCTCCATTACAGCCACAACTTGTGAAGCTTTATTCTGAGCTTAGGAACTGGCTGTAGAAGCAATCAAAGGCACCATCGTTTTTCTCGCAAAATTTTGTAGAAAATTTCTTGGGTTAATCAAGAAACCCTGCCGCGTTCAGCAACTCCATTATAAGTCTCATAAATTTCAAGTGCCGCCATACTTCAACTACTTTTGCAATCGTGCAATTAATTTTTCCTTTTAGAATAGTTCTGAACCTCAGTTCGGTTATTTTAGTGCTATTTTTCAGTTGCAAAACCTGTATTTTTCGATAAATTAGTGACAGTGCTTTCCTATCAAGACAGCATATCTCATTTTTGTGATTTACTTCAAGTACTCTTTAATTTGTAATTATTACCTTGTAAATTTTTCCAGGGATCTTATGCAGGTGTTTTCGTATTTAAATTGTGTTCAGAAATTCGGTGATGTACAAAAAAAAAGAAAAAAAAGAATTACTCTATAATTTAAATTTTAAATGTTCTGTAGTATTTTGACTGATAGTTTGTAGTATTTTATTCCAAGGAATGACTCGACTGGGATACCTCAACACTAAAGTTCCAGCATCAAGTTAAAATGTTTAAGTCTTAATTTTGCATTATTTCAATGGTGAAACTCCCAAATCGCGCATCGCATTTGCCGTTTTTTAAAATCTCCGCTCCTACTTTATTTTCCTAAACAAGAAAAATATCAACATAACTCCTCGAAGTTTTCATAGAATTTGCATCGCACAGAGAGGAAAGATTACCATTGAGTAGTTTTCCATTTAAAAAGTAAAAGTATGACAGGAAGTCTGCCAAGTCCCCAATCCAGATATGTGGTTCGAGAGTTTTCACCATTTAACAAAATTGTTTCACAGGCTTGAGATACTTCATTGTCATTTCCCGCTTCGTTATGAGAATAAATTTGCTCTACCTTTTAATTGCTATTAATAGAGCGTTTGCATTCTCCTTGAATTTTCAGTCTGCCGATTGACTCGAGCTATAAATGTAGCAAGGAAAATGATAATACATACGATCAGAAGACTCTGGATTGCTTTATTCAGAATTTTAGTTCTGGAGAGAGCTTCTACTTTGAATTATGTTGTTCAAGTTTTAAGTTCAGTAAAAGAGTTCTCTTTAGGCATTTCATACTGCTGAGTTTCTATTTTTTTCAAACCCCCTTTTCATCCATGATGATGGCCATATTTTTGTCGTGTGGTGACGAACCAAAACCTTCTACAATTTGCAATCGCCATTTTTGATACCTTTGATTAGTTCATTGACAATTTTCTGATTCTCATTTCTATATTTTCTAGCTCCTCAGAAGCTCAAATCTCATAGATTGTAAATGAGCTTTAATGCAAATAATCGGATAGCATTTAGCAGAGGGAAACCAAAGCGATTACAATATTGTGAGGTACATTTATCTTCATCTTCACTTAAAAAATGCCTAGAACAGCAAAAAGTTTTTGTTTCCTCGCAAAAAAAAAATTCAGTTTTAAAGGAAAACGATTGTGTATATTTTATTATCACAGATACATTTGTGACCTAATCTGTGAAAGGGAACTTCATATTCCAGGAAAAACTGTCCAACAGAGTTAAATTTCGGGAAAAACTTTAAAAGTGGCGATTTCAAACTCTCCACAGGAACTGCCCTCCAAACGCCTTTCAATAAGGTCATGCGCCATGCTATAGTTCATTTGGTGCTAGCTGCTCTTTTTCTCCATGCGAAAAGTTACTCAAGGATCTAATATATCTCTATTAATTTTTGAGGTTTCAGGGTAAAACTTGTGCTATAATTTCCCGATTTTCTTACTCTATGCAGTGGTACTGATAAGTCAAATTGGAAATAATTGTAGCGAAGGGCTCGTTTCACAGAACTGGTCACATTAGGTATTTTTTAAACGCAAAAAAAAAAAATGGCACGATTTTGAAAACACTAAACTGGTGTTCGTCCACTCTGCTAAACGCGATCCATTGTAATGAGATCAGTTGTAGAGGAGAGCTATGTCAATAGTGAGTTTTAAGTGTGGAGCAGATATTTTAAATTATTATTTTCCCTTACTAAATAGACTTTTAACCTGTCCAAAAATTTGAAAAATCGATTAATACAAGGAATTTTCATTTGATTTGTATCTTTGACCTTGCTTGCAAGACTAATGCAACAACGGAGGAAGCAATGACATAGAATAAGTAGACAGCGTCACCAGAGCCTACAAGAGATGACTTCAACACTTTTCTTCCCTGAGTCAGCCATCTTCGTATTTATTGAAATCTGCTTCACTAAAATTGGACAGATATTCATGTTTAAAGCCGTATATTAGAAGTATGCAAACACATATAAATATTAAATAAGTATGCTTGGATGATTTTGGGAAAAAAACATAAAATTTTAGACTAGATTATTATATCGGCTATCATTCAGCCACTTCAAAACGCTAGCCAATCACAGACATTCACAGTATTTAGTGAAACAGTTTCGCTTGGAGGAGAAGAGGATGGCAGAGGCTTGCGCTCATGTTGATGTCGTGTACTTATTCTATGGCAATAATCTGGGGGAAAGGTGTATTCATGGGAACGCGAACAGTTGGTTCTAGAAAATATTAGATAAAAAGACAAGGATGAATTTTAAATTTAGTTTACTAAAATTACCTCAGTGTTCCAGTCGCATGCATACACACCAGCTTGTACACATTGCTTATGCACATGGAAGCTTAACTAGTTAGTTCAATAAATAGTATGTAAATATATACTCATAGCTACATAATTAAACTATACACATAATTAAAAACTTAAAAAAATTAATGAAAATAATAACAGACCTTAAAATCATGATAACAAAAAAAGTAAATTCTGTACACTTTATTCTTTCTTACATTCTATGCTGCAAATTATCTTACACACACGCACACGTACAAGTTATTCAATTTTTGCTGAGAAAACTCATATCTTACAAGAAAAAATTTCTTACTTTTTCTGGCATCCAGAAAAAACCCCTCCCACAAAATAATGCACAAGTTTAAGTCCATCATCAACAGACTTACTCTGGAGACAATAAAATACACAAGTTCAACAGCCCAGCTGTCACAACCTGCAGTTCATTAGTTCCTAATTTACAATCCTACCAAAATTCAGCTACCGTAGTGGCCCCAAATAATGCACTTGATGATGAATCAAAGTTAAAGTAAAAACGGGAATGTGCAGGTCAGTAACCAGCGTCATTTGCTTCTTCCAAGGCATTTGCAAAGAGCAAGTTCACCAAGTCTTTTTTCTTTTTGTCAACTTCTAAGACAGAAGGCGATAAAAATTAGAAAGCCTCTGCATAACTAAAGCGAACCAGTTAGTCTATTCCAGACTTGTCCCTTGAAAACTCGAGATTAGAAAATTTGGAATTATCATTGACTGTGGTTAAAATAATTTGTTTACATGAGATATTCTGAAGTAGTGCAACATTGACAAAATTATTCATGAAAAGGTCTCTTGCCACTCATTAACAAAGAAAAAGGTATCATCAAGACAGAATTTTTTTTAAAAAAAATAGAAACCTTTGCTTCATAAAATACAGATTTTATATCTATGCTAAGACAACTCAGTGATACAAAAAAAAAGTGCATCCATGTTTTACAAATATCGATTGGGATAGATAAGGTGACATTAGAGGTACCTACACACTTCTATGATTGACCATTGATCTGCTTCTTAGGAAGCCAGTGATATTTCAAGGTGGGGCAACAATTAGACAAAAAACTAACCCCAAGCGGCACCCAATGGCCTACTGCACTTAAATTGATCTATTGCACACTTTTTAACCACGTTTTAACCAGTTTTTACATTGAAATTAGTTAAGAAACATATTATTAAGAATTTGAAGACAATGAGCCCTTCTGCCTTTGATACAAACATTGAAGTGAAACGATTAGATGTAATGATTCCCTCAAAATGATGTAGTGTCTAGAGTTACCCCTGAAATTTTGCGGGCTTCCTACAACACTCTTCCTCACAAAAAGCAGAGACAGGTGAAGAGAGGGATTCAAGACTCATCTCTGATGTTAATCAAGGGGAAAAAACTGACAGAAAAACTCTACCAAAATACTGAAATATGCTTTAGACGTTGCTTGAAAAAGTTAATTTGTAAATCCTATATAATCAGGAACAATTCATCAGAGAATGAAGAGAAAATACATTTTCTGAGGCAATAATAATTTAAAAAACAAGTGACTGTATTACACTGCAATTAGCTGATGTTGCAAACATACTCAATAAAAAAATAAAATAGCATGTAATTTGACCAGTCACAGCATGAAAATGAAGAAACAGAAGGGGTGACAATGACAGTGAATAACAAAGAGACAAAAAACAAATTATTCCATTCAAAAAAGGAGATGGTTATTTTGAGTTGATGCAGAGGGTTGCATACTGACAGTTAAACGAACTCCTTCTTAAACGCCGTTGAAAGTAAGAGAACAAGGCTCCTCTGTTGATGGGATGAAAAAGAAAGAAAGAGAAATGAAGTTAATAACAAATAGGTGCCTAAAAAGGAGTAATAAAATATATATAAAATTTATCTATTTACACAGGGATATTTACAATTAATAATTTAATCATTCATAACAATAACAACAAACAAACAAAGACAACAATAATTTACAATATTTTTCATCAACACTTATCAAAAACATTATTCTAGATAAAAAGTTATATGATTTTTCCTTTTATTCGAGAAAAGAAACAATTAGATCCCAACCGATTATTGTTATAATTTTTCCCCCTTCACACTGATACACTCAGATTTTTGTTGAATTTCGAGCGTGTCAACCTTAAATAACTAATTTATACACTATGATACAAAAGATTCTATAAAAAATCCAAGAATTATGTGTTGAAATTAAAAGATGAAGCAAGATGATTTCAAGATGGAGTGCTGCAAGGAGGAAAAAGACGACGTACATGGTTTCGATCCTTGACTGATGAAAGACACTGATGAACAATTTGATTATGATGTGATGAATTGCCTCTTCTAACAGCACTTGATCCTCGTAGGGTTCTTATTCACCCGCCATTAACAAATATTCCTAAATGAAAATGGAAAGGTGCATGTTGAAGATTGAAATTACAGAGCCAAAAATGATGCATCAATTAGTATTAAAATCATTTTTGGCGCTCACAAGCTCCTACAGGAGGGAGGATTGTCAAGACAGAAAAATTTTCAAGCTGAATCCTTTATTTGTTTTTGAATGACAGAAGCATCAGTGGAAAATCCAGCCCTTACGTTAAAATTATGCTGACTGATAAATTTATCAAGCAAAACTAGGCGAGATAAATTTTGTGCAATTGTGAGACCATAATGACATCAATTACTTTGACAGCACTTAACGTTATAGACCTTGCTAAAAATTAGAGGATGATATGATTAGTCTGGAAGGAATTCTTCGTTTTTTGAGGGGTGCCAACCTTGATGGGATACATTCTGTGCTTTCTAACTTGAGGGATTTGGATAGACTTGAAAGTCATTTCTCAGCAAAGGAAAGTAAGAGCAAGTGTTGGTTCTACCATTCAGTTTTCTTGGGGATGATTTTTAGTTTGGATCAGAATTTTGTTGTGATCGGGCAGTGGGGAAACTAGTAGCTTTAATATTCACTAATGACATACAGAGAAAGTGACTAGGTATTGAGTATGAAAGTGGAGTGTGACCTGTCTTCATGGTGTGGACGTCATTGTGGCAGCGTAAATACATGAAATAAATTTGTTTTTCATAGGCTTCTACGATAATTTTAATTAAGTTGAACTTAAGATCTGAAATTAATTTGAATTAATCTGAAGGTTGCATTGCAGAACAAATTGAGAAATTGAAAGCCTTTTTTACCACCACTGCACGCACCACAGAAACGCTGGCTTTCTCTGTTCCTTCTCAATTGAAGTTTTGGGTTTCAGATAAAAAAAGTAAATAAAATTCAAACTTTTGGATTGAACTTCACAAAAAAAGAAAAACAATTTATTACTCAACCATGGAATACAAATGAGGGAAAAAAGAGGACAAAAAATTAACCCAATAGTGTGAGTTTCCAAAGTGCATCTGAACTATACACCCACTCACATTGTTTCCTTTCACACTTTACAAATCGATGGAGATCTTTACAAGATCAAGAAATTATGGCATGGCATCAACCTATTTATTTAAGCTGTCAAATATACGTCACTCATTGAGTAATATGTAACGAAGAATTTGATGAAGAATCAAAACGAACACCACAAGCACCCGTGTTGGAAAGCAAGTCATCAACTTTCTTTTTTAAACCTCCAATTCCACATCAATTATGGAGTAATATGTACTGAAAAATTTTATAAAGAATCAAAACAAATACGGTCAGCGCCCAATAGTAAGCTGCCTTTAGATTTTGAGGATGAAAGAAAATAAAATATAATCTTTGCGAGAAGTTTTGGATTATTACAGAGACTAATAGGAAATGAAAAATGTGATAAGTGTCTTATAATTCATGAGGAATAATATCGGAAAAGTACAGGCTATAGAGGACTCTTGATGTTTTAGTCTGAGGTTAACTTCCTACCCCTTCCCTCTCCTTCACTATTATCAATTCAAGCAGATAGAGTGGTTGATTGCTGCCTTGTGAATGAAATAAAGCAATTGAGATAAGTATCAAATGCGAGCTGCAGTCTTTGTTTTGAGTTTGGTAAAAAGAAGAGGTACTTCCACAGATGCGCCAACAGTGTAATAGGACATTAGACGAGTGTGATATGTTAGGCACTGAGTTAAGTAAGATGATAAAGTCTAATTAAGCAATTTTTGAGACAGAAGAGGACAACATCAAAGATTGGGAAACTTAGAACAAAAACAAACCTGGCAAAAAAACCAACAACTTCATGCTTTTTCAAAAAATTATTTTCCATACAGTAAGTTCACTGCCGTAGATGGCATCCTCCACAAGTAATCATACCTGACATCACTAGAATCAATTTTAAAATTAATTTGTACCGTCTCAACATTCAGACATAAGAGTGAATTGGTAATTTGGGATTTTTTCAATTTTAACTTTTAACACTTCCCTTCCCAAAACATTTTCTTCGTGATAGTTCCCATGGACAATAAATGAAGCTTGCAAAATTTTGAGTCCCACAGGAATGATTAGTCTTTCAGTAGTGGTTTTTAGGTTTTCATGACAGTAGAATGTGAATGCTACATGGAAGCGTTCAAAATTCTGAAAATTTGCCTGATCTCAAACTAGGCTTAGCCTACACCTAAACATTTTTTGAGTACTATTACATTCGAAAAATAACAAGAAGAAAACACATTACGTAAAAGGTCATCTTAGTATATGGCCTGACTTGCTAACAAACTCAGTAGCACTAAAATATATTTTGGTGTCGAAGAATAATTTAGGGTCCAAATAAATTTTCGCTCGTCAATTAAAACTTTGCCTCATGGAACTAGGGGAAAAGAGTTATGAAGTAAGGTACTAAAACTACTGAAACATGTAAACTAAAAATCCCACATTAATAGAGGGCATTGCATTTTTGGTGACTAATATGTTGACATTCTCTCTCTCTCTCTCTCTTCCTCTCTACCCTCCCCCTCTCTGTGTTTCAATACGTAATTTCAATATGTATATGAGTTTAGTAGAAAATTAAGTAGTTTTTCTATTGAGTTTGATGATACCAAAATAAAAATAAGGTTGGAAAAATCGGTCTTTCAAAAACAGAGTTTCAGATGAAATTAGGCTTAAGTTTAAAGTCTTTTGGGATCTGAGTTGATAAAACAAACAGAAAGGATCTTTTACTCAATTTATGAAGCTCTCGTCACTTGATGAGGAACAAAGAGCTTCCCATGCAAATGAAGTTGGTGGAGAAGGGGTGCCAACTGTCAATTATCGAATACTTGCAAGTTAGATATTCATGGGCAAATGAACCTTCCATATTCTTCAGGTTCAAATTCTGCATTTCAATCTGAAAAATTGAAAGACTTAGATCTGAAACCTGATGACCTTCACAAGGTGCCTATCAGGTTGTTAAGAATTGGTTGGCAATTTAATGAGGAGAGCATTAAAATTTAAAGCTGGACAGACAACCATCCAGTTACGTCAGATTGTTCTTGATTACACTCTCAATGATGAGGGAAATCGAGAAATTCTTTTTAATCAAAGATATGGGAAGTAATTTAAAAATTGTTCCTTTGATCCTCCATACATTTAACATTTTAGAGCTATCAACATTCATAAACCCATAAAAAAGGTTAGTTAAACCATGTAAGGTATTTCTCCTTTTACAAGATTGTAGATTCCTTCCTTTCCTAAACAACCTCTATTTACAGGTAGATTTGTTCACGGCAGAGATAAATTGAATTATAATTGTTGCAATAACTACAAAAAAGCAGAGCAACAGCTAAGATTAAGCAGTGATGAGAGACAGCAAAAAGGGCTTCATTTTCTCTTGTCTTACTGACCTCTGGCAAAGAAAATGAGAATCTCAAGCTGTGAAGATTGTGATTGGGTAAAAATTCAGAGCAAAATTTTGAAATAAGAAAGGAGCGCAAAAATGAATACAAAGGAATGTGAATTTTGCCTACAATTATGAAAAATTTGTTTATTACCCTCACTAGAAACATAGTACTTTGAATTAAAGAACAGGGAGATGTCATTTAATGGAGAACTTGGGGTCCAGAGGGGCAGCTGACTTTTCCAAAGTTATTTCGTGAATACTCGAGAAGTGATGTGAAAAATAAATTCACTTGGAAACTTAGATAATTTTTCTAGGCATTATTGAACAATTTTTGATTCTAATAGGAACAAGAAATAACTGGCAATGAGAGCAAGTTGTTCGAAATCAGAAGTCAACTCTTAGAGGTTTGAACTTACTTACGGAGGCATCGGTGAATGCCTGATAAAATAGGGACCTCCTTACATGCCTATACTCTTCTAGCAAAAGTGCTCTGACCCCCAAGAAAAGGAAAATCTTTCAGAGGAAATGCCCTTGAGCGCCAAGACTCTAATAATGATGATGAGTAGGGAAAAGCATCGGACTGCATTAAATTTATAAAAAAAATTGATTCTCTATCAATTTTCCAACATTCCAGAGTAGAAAATCTTTCTGCGTAGTTACATGAATGGGAGGGGGAGGGGGTTGTACTTGATTAGGGTTTAGACTTAGTTACCTCAGAGCTTCTTTCAGTGTGCTCTAACAGAGAACTTGAGGACATATTTTGGCTGTATTAACCGGCGATAATTTACAATGGGTCAATTGGAACATCAGCTCAGCCGTCAATTTAGAGACAAGCAGGTATTTAACAGTATTTTTTCTGCTTTAAAATGCAATAAGATAGTGATAGTCTGGTTAAAGCATGGATGCAAATAAGTCTTGACTAGCCAGAGAAAATGTAAGAAAAAAACAAGCTTGCACCTAATGAAATTAAAAAACCCGTGTTGTCAAAAATTGTTGGGAAAGGAGGGATATTGATAAGAGCTTTCACTGCCCCCATCCTGAATTTTCTCAATTCTACGATTTTTTGTTCACTGAAGTAAAGGTCTAAGGTTTACAGAATGCATTGTGATTTAGACATTCTCAGATCTGACACTGGCCTAAATAAGGGTCTGAAGGTCGATTCCGCTGAAAAATGTGGACTTCTGTCGAAAAATCTGCATTCTTCGAATCATATGTAGGCCGGTATTAATCCTGAAAAGAGACCAGATATGATCACATCATGATGCATTCCGTATAATATAGACTCTCAAACAGCAAAAAATCGGAGAATTAAAGAAATTCAGCAGAGGAGCCCAAAAACAGTCCTCATCAGTACTCTTCCTTTCAGCTTACGCTCATTTTTTCCATCTAAATCTGAACAATGCAGAAAAAAATATAAAGGCTTCGAACTATTTGCACTCCTGGTTATGAGTAAAAATTGATGCTGGATCATTTACTGAACTTGCCAGCGAAAATAATTGAGGATCATTCATATTGCTACACTATACAGGAGAAAATAACGACTCATCAAGGTTAATAGTAACAAGAAATTGCTATTAATTCTTTTCCAACGGCAAGCAGAACTTTCAAAGCTATTCTTTCATCAAACGGCCACATACTTAAGAGTACAAGCTTACTAGGCTATGACAGTACAACTACAATGTCAAGTAGCAATAATTGAGAGAAAGTCAAAGAATAAAATTGAAAAGGAAATAACAATCGAGTGCACGAAAATAAAAAATATTGTTCCTCTTTCTAGAAAAAAAAGAAAAAACATCTGAGTAATATCAAATTTCAAATTTGAAGAAAGCAGTTGCCAAGGGAAATTATAACTGAGGTAATATTTAAATGAAAAGACTTCCATCTATGAAACTGGCTAAGAAAAAAAATTCTTAAATTAATAACTTAAATATTACTAGTAACATCTAGTAATAAAGGAAAAGAAAACAATGAGAAAAAAAATATAAAAAAAAAGAGCTTAAGCGTTCATAAAATATAGAGGAAACTGATTTATGTGTGTAAAAAAAAAAATAAATAAAAATAATATTAATAATGTTACAGTTTAAAGTTGTCCATACTTTAGGCAACTTTTGACTTAATCAAAATAATAAAGAGGTTAAAAAATTAAAAATGTACAATCAGAGCTTCATTAAAATAATATACTAATAAAGTATTGTCAGTTTTAACAATATAAAATTTTTTAACATATTAACATTCAAGAGTAAGTATTAACACAGGAATTAGATGTATTTATAGCTATAATACAATTTTTTATTTGTGGATGTATGTATGTTTGCTTGCTTCATAATGTGTATACTGGTGTGGAAAAGTGTCCGTGGATCATTGCCAAGCGTACCTTTTAAGCTTCAAATCAATTTTCCACTTCCTTTCATGACAATAACTCAATAGGTAATCTAAGAAATGATCTATTAAAATAGAACGGTCTGTGAAAACTAAAAAGTGTTAGTGAGTGTGTGTATTTTCTTGATTGAACAACTTATTTCTTTGAAAACAAACATACTATAATACATTCTTTTTTAATTCTATTTTTTTATTTTCATTTGCCATTGCGTCATTTTTTGATAAATTTCTCTTTGCATCAGAGTTGTACAGTTGAAAATTAAAAACAAATATAACTTTACATAAAGAATAAGTACCACAAAAACAAGGGTTAATGCACTAAGATGAGTGATAGTTACCAACTTAACCAAGAAGGCGAGTCAAGCAAGTTAGACTGCAAGAAGATTTGCATCACTGCAGGAGGTGAAGTTGGTAAAGACTCCTCAGGTCATTTACTGTCCCTTGAGCCTCTTCTTCGTTTGTTGGACAAATCTGCGTCAACAGCTGTAAAAGTAAAACAATGATACATTAGATAAGCGAATCCAATTTTCAACTTTACAACAGTATCCAATGATGTTTATTAGATAGCTGAATAATCAGGAAATGAAACCATCTATTGGAAATTTGCGCCTTGAACTTGCGACATTGTTAGAAAGAACCTGAACCCTGCAGTAGTAGCGATAGTTGGTACATATTATATTGTCAACATACAACATGTTTACAATAAAACTTTAAAAGGCCCAAAGCCAAAAAAAAAAAGAAATCAGGAGTCAAATGTAAGAGCCAAGCCAAGATATTTGCATTCAAATAAAAATAAAAATAAAAACGTAAAACGGATTTCACAAGATGTAGAAAAATTATAAACGAAAAATAAAATAATGACTCACTAGCACATTAAAAAACAATTTTCACTTTGGACTGGCTTTGAGTAGTTTCTAATTTATGTGCATTTTTTGCTTTCTCTTGGAGCTTACTTGAACTGAAACTTACTTCCTGTCTCCTTTGATGCCCTTATGAAACCATGAAAAAAACTCTGATCTTAATAATTTGCCTAGATCTAGACAAATTTTTAGATTTTTGCAAACCAGTTGTAAAAATTGTGGATTTTTCCCGGACTTTACAGCCTGGTCATTAATGTTTCAGACTTTTCCGGTAAGTTTACAAGTTTTACAAATCCTGCAGACACTCAGAGCCACAAAAAGTTGACAATTCTCATGGAGAACAAAGGGGTACAAGCAAAAAGGGCCATTTGAGGCTCGGGGCAGATACCTTTGAGACTTGCCCTAATCATTCACCAAACCATGTTCCATCTTTTCCCAAAGTTTCAAGCCCCCCAAAAATTTTGAGGCGACGCGGCGGGGGGTCAAAGTTAAAACCGGCAAAATTTTCGCGAATTTATTACTCAAAAACCAAGAAGTTTTGAAAAACGTGGTTTAAACGAGCGTTTTCAACGTGACGAGAGCTTTCAGAAAATGTATGACATCATAGGGTTTTGTCAACTTCAGCTCGGGTTGTCGCCTCCGAAGCGCCGGAACGCTCAAAAAAGACCCCTTATTTTTTCACGGTCGGGCCGATTTTAAAAAAGCCATTTTTTTATTTTGATGAAAAACTGATATGTTGTTCCTGACTCTCTGTAGCCCCTCTAACTCTTTACCGCATGCTGGGGAAATGTTTTGGTCGCGAGTTATAAGAGCGGAAAGAAGCGAAGGTCGGGAAAATGGGCTATTTCAAACTGCGCGCGCGGCGTTGATCGGAAGGAAAACGTCCCCTCCCACTCAGTTCTGCGAATCACACTCCTCGGCCGATTTCGCATTGTTGCCACATGTCTTCTGGTCCGTCGCCGCGCGCCGTTTGAAATAGCCTATTTTCCCGACCTTCGCTCCTTTCCGCTCTTATAACTCGCGACCAAAACATTTCCCCAGCATGCGGTAAAGAGTTAGGGGGCTGCAGAGAGTCAGGAACAACATATCAGTTTTTCATCAAAATAAAAATATGGCTTTCTTTTTAAATCGGCCCGAACGTGAAAAATAAGGGGTCTTCTTTGAGCGTTCCGGCGCTTCGGAGGCGATAACTCGAGCTGAAGTTGACAAAACCCTATGATGTCATACATTTTCTGAAAGCTCTCGTCACGTTGAAAACGCTCGTTTAAACCACGTTTTTTAAAACTTCTTGGTTTTTGAGTAATAAATTCGCGAAAATTTTGCCGGTTTTAACTTTGACCCCCCGCCGCGTCGCCTCAAAATTTTTGGGGGGCTTGAAACTTTGGGAAAAGATGGAACATGGTTTGGTGAATGAATAGGGCAAGTCTCAAAGGTATCTGCCCCAGGCCCAAAATGGCCCTTTTTGCACGTACCCCTTTAATTAATAAGTTTCAAGGTTACAGCAGACAGGAGGAAAAATATGAGGGTTGTTTAAAGAGTGTTTCCCCCTTTTTTTCTTGAGACTAACTAAAGTATAATTTTAATATATTGCTGAAAAACATGGACTCGAACAACCATTAATTTCTGTTGATTAACGCATCAATCAGTCATAGATCGCACTTTTTTATGGGTATTTCTAACAATTTTCCACCAACTTCAACAAAGTTAACAACTAACTGTGTTGAAGTGGATAGACTAGGGTGAGGATGGACTTAACACATGCCTTGCTGATATGTTTTAGCGTTACCCATCTGATCAGAAAAACTTGCAAGGAAATGATCAAATTTGAGCTCTTCAAACAACGGTTTCCTTCAATTGCCACAATACTGTCGCTTCACGTCAGTTAAGAATATAACTGGTATGTACTCAACTACTAGTTCTGTAGAAGACTTGCAGAGAGCACATCTGTCACACAGCAGAACAATGAAAATGTGCCGTTTAAAAGCCAGTCACTGTCACTCATCACTGACCATTTTGGTCTGGTGCAACTAACTAAAAACAGTCACAATGATCAACTTGGCAGTGAATGTGTTGAAGTTAGGACATGGATTGAATGGAATGAGAAAATGAATAGGAGGGAGAAAAGCAGGAGTAGGATGATGGAAAGATTATGAAAAACCGTACGAAATGTGCGATCTACATGACAGTTCATGGTTCCTAAATCTGAGGTGTTTCAACTCTTCCTATAGAAGGACTCTTGTATGATCATACTAAGAGCAACCATTACTTTAGCAATGGACCCAAGGGTAGTGTAAAAATGGTTTCAGGATCTCCTGAGAACTACTGCTAGAACGCAAAGGTTGCAAAGGATCCACTCAGCATGGAAAGTAAGAAACATGGTCTGACAATATACATGGTAGCATGTGTAATAATCACAGGGTTTCTACTTTTCTTCAACTTTCAAATGTCCTATGTTTTCCTTAATTGATTGCATAAAATGACTTTTTATGGCCCATTCGTCACAGTGGTGCAAAACGACCACTCTTTCAAGGTTCTTGTAACTAACAATTTAGAAAAGCTAACTCTGTCTTTTAAATTTCTTGTCTAACTTTCCTACCACACAATCCTATTCTTAAAAAAAAAATATTATGCTTATTAGTGTTCAAATAGACAAACTTTCTACTTTGAAAAGAGAGGATTCTCGAGTTAATGTCAAATTATCTCAGTTTTCCCTGGGGTTTCCTTCAAAATTCCATTTCCTGGGTTTTCCCGGTTTTTCCCTGGAAAATAAACCCTATTATCAATTTAGTTGGGTTAGTTTAGGATACTTACCATTAATATTGCTTCTGGTTTTTCTCCTCGTATTAATCTCATCACTTTGAGAGCTCGTGTTATTAGAACCAGCCGATGATGTTGAAATGGAGGCAGACGTTACAGTCGTTGTTGGAGCTTGCGTTGATGGCGAAGACGAAGTTACAGAGATACCTACAACACCCGAGCTTTTTACAGTACTCCCACGCTTGCTACTATTTAATGCACTTGTCCCACTATTACTACTACTTGATTTACAATTGTTACTATTACCACTCACGATATTATTCAACTTACAACCTAAACTATTTGGATCGTCTACTTTCACATCAACAACACACTTGACGTTCATGTTCAGTTTATCTAAGCCAGCGATTGTCGAGCCGATATTTTTACTTCTATCACTGCTTGCGGTCGAAGCAGAGGTCGTCTGCGGCACTGTTGACGATGCTGTCGAAGTCGCTGAGGACGAGCCTGATGACGTTTCCGCAGCGGAGTTTGTGGTGCAAGTTGCAGTTGCAGTCGTTAAACACGCTGCACTGGTTACAGGCTGCGCTTTCTGCACTCGCGGGGTGCCTGGAGTGCTTGAACTTTGCGTTTGCCGCATTGACCGTCTTGTGTTGTTTGTGCGACTAGATCGGGATGTCCCGCCTGATTTAGTTCTACAAGTAATAAAAAAAGAAACCAAATATTATTTAAAATATCCCATGCAGTATAAAAGAATTGTGAGAGAATGTCAAGAGAAAGGTTGACATTGAACTACAAAAATAAGAGAGTGCCATGTTTCAAAATTTGGGACTGTGACAGGAATCTCCTTTCTTTCCAAAACAGAGAATTATTGGATATTTTTGAGAAAAATTTTTTTCATCCACTAATCTAAAAAGGGTAAAAAAAAAATAAGACAAATTTTTATACAAAAATAATGATCGAAAAATTATCTTTACGATTTGAATTTCATTGGTGGTAGTTCTGTTTTAGTGGAAAATCTAGATTTTCTATAAAATTGTTGGGTAGAGGGGGAAAATACTGGCATTATTCATTGACTTGGCGCTAAAAATTACACAGGTGTCTAGCACCATATCCCTAGCATTTTTGTTGAAAAAAATTTGCAGATCTGTGTAATTCCTATGCTACTTGACAGAACCTTAATATCCAGTTTTTTTGTTACAGTCTATAAAGTAAAGTTAGGATTCTGAGATTTCACTGTGATCCGCAAACCAGGAGTTCACGCTTTTTCTGCTCTACCAGCCACCCAATTTAACTTGTACTACATTGATATTACACTCATATTTGTGTATTTTAAAGTCTTTTTGTAGACAGAGTGAATTTTAAAAAGTAGAAGAAAAAAAGAATACAAAATTGAGGGTCTAACCTGTTTTTTTCTAGAATGTCACTCAATGGCTCATCATCAGATGAATCTCCTTCATTATTGCCACTGTTCCCTGAAAATAAAGCAAAGATTGTGAATGGAACTTCTTTTCCCATAATTTAAGAGGCTCACGAACTGGGTAATCAGACATTTTGTCATAAAATTGAACGCTTGGCTGTGAGGCAAAAACGCCCGCTCCAGACAAACGCTTTGCGTTTTAGACAGGATTGCCACAGAATTTTGAACTGTGTCTTCCTGACACATTTTGATCAATTCTCTGACAATGGGCCTGTTGCAAACTTTTGCTAGAGCAAAACTAAGAGTTGTTTCTTATATATAATGCCTTAAAAATCAAAATGAGCGCATCGACAAAGTTTGAAATGCACACATAACTTCACAATCTGCGTAAGAAATTTGCAGTTTTTTGAGCTTCCCGCTTCAAAAACGATACTACGGCACAGGTGGACATTTTGTAGGAGTCTTTCCATCATCGGCAATATTCATCATGGCCGACGGCAATCCGCCAAGGCACACCGACCAAGATAAGACCAGATAACACCCGACCAAGATAAGACCAGATAACAAACGGCGTGTCTACGTTCATATTTTCCTCGCCCGTCTTGATTGACCTTGAACTCTCCTTGAATAACATGCGGAACTGCGAAAACTTCGGCCATGATGAATATTGCTGACGATGGAGAGACTCCTCTAACAAAATGTTCGCCTGTGCCGTACTATCGGTTTTGAAGCGGGGAGCTCAAAAAACTGCAAATTTCTTATGCAGATTGTGAAGTTATGAGTGCATTTCAGATTTTGCTGATGCACTCATCGTAATTTTTAAGGCTTTATCTACTGGAAACAACTCTTATTTTTGCTCTAACAAAGTTTGCAACGGGCCCATTGAAGATATGGCAGATGGTTAAAAGGACTTTGGAATAGTTTTCAGGCAAACTTCGTTGTTTGAAGTCAAATTCATTCTGGAAAGCAAATAAAGATGATTTAACAATTTTTCCTCGACACTTTTGTCATTTCCTCTGAAATTTCCAGGTTTTCCCTGGCTTTTTCAAATTCCCTGAAATTAACCCGTGTTCCCTGACTATGGCAACCCTGTTTAAAATGTTCCAAACTCTTGTTGATGGTTACCTTGTAAATCTCAGTGGTGAAAAATTTACTACTGAACTGAGCTAAGAGAAATGTGTTTCATTGGAATAAGAATATCTCAATTTTTCTGTGATTTTCTTAGGAATTGCCTGTTTTGCAAAGTAGCCTCATCTTTGAAAGAAGCGCTTTTGGCTGATTATAGTGACCAGAATAGCAGCCGACTTACTGAATTTTTTGAAAAGGAATGAAAAGGGCAACGAAAATGATAACAAAAGAGAGGTCTAATCATTACATACCTTTTCTGGTCTTCATTGGTGTAACGGTGCTGGAGTTCGACTTAGAATCAACTGTAATGGTAGGTGTTGCCAGTGATGAAGTTGTAACAGCTGATAGGGTTTGAGAAACCGGTGAGGAGGCTATTGTTAGTACCATCGTTGAGGATTGAGTTGCGGCGATGGTTGACAAGGGAGGGGAACATGTGATGCTCGTACTGCAAACAGTTTTCTTCCCCTGACCTTCTTCTAGACCCATGCATGCTTTGATCAGTTCTGCAGCATTTTCTGAACATTTTCGTTTGTTAGGTCTGAAACAATCATGGAGCATTAAGAAAAATAAATTAACAAACACACAAAGTGTGGACTGTGGTAAAAAATTACAGGAGTTGGAAGTGAATCTGATGTAAAATTAAATATTTAAAAATCACCCTATATTTATAAAAAAAGCAGAGGAGCTGTGTCCACTAAAACTGGCTGACAAAAAATCAGTGCTTTTACAGTACTTTCTCAGATTATTCAGTGCCTCATCGACAGAAAAATTAAATACTTTTTCAGTACCTCCATTTGGCAAATTTCAAAAATTTGAAGTGCAAATTGTGACAAAAATGAGGTCACCACGAAATTTGTTCATTGGTGGCTTGAGGATCAACTGTCTGTGGCAACCCTGTTTGGTAGGCAACATGTTGAGATTTACTGATAAAAAATATTCCGCTAAATACCTGATAGTTGAAGAGTCATCATTGGCATTGGAATTTTCAGAAGTTTGGCGCTGCCTCTTGGCTGCTGCTCTGAGGGAAGGAAGCCTTGTTTTGCTAGAGCTTGATTCAGAGTCTGTTCCTAAAGGACTGTTTTTGGGTGTTTTGGAACCTCCAGTCACTGTCGTCGTTGATGATACATCTGGACTGGGGTGTCCAAGTCTGAAAAAAGACCAAGTACAACTGAAAAAAGAAGACTAAAACGACTGATTTTCTCAAGTGCCCAATCTAATCACAAGAGAACATTGCGCATTAGATGTTAAATGTAACCTCAAGAGAGTGAGGTGTAGAGTACCTTTATAGACAGAGTATGCCCATTTGTATCTTTATATTACAGGAAAACTGTGCCGCTTTTTGATTGGTCGACGAGTTTTTAGGCTTCATGATGCTCTTACGGTCGTAAATAAACAAACAAGATAGCGACTCACCGTAACATTAATAAGAAGCTAAAATTTGAAAACAATTTCAATTATACGGCAGTAACAATTTGAACTAGCATATCTATAAAGAATACATGAAAACACTGTTGAATTGCCTTTCGCCTTTATCACAGGAGGATGTAAGATGTGCATGACCTCAAACTTGCTTGCTGATAACAGCCATCTTGTTCGTTTATTTACAGTCGTAAGAACATGTCAGCTTAAAACCAGCACAGAAATGGGCATACTCTGTCTATAAAGATACTCTAGGGAGGTGAAAAAGGAGGATGAGGGAGGTGAGGGGACGCTGGAATCATGATAATAGTAAAGTCAGACAATAGGTTTGACTTTACTTCTTCATTTTCAATTGATTCAGCCGAAGATTATTCCATTTTTTCATAAAGCGTCCAGCCCACTTACAAACTGGGGCTCTCAAACTGGCACCAATTCTTCTATTTCTCAGCCATTTCTGCACGGAATTCCTTGAAAAATTCAAGATCTGATCTGTGATGTATCCCGAACACATCGGTTACCTTCAAAGATCGTCGGCCCGACGATCTTTGAGAGGCAACAGTCAACAGTTCTACTAATGAGCCTCTAGCCCCTAGTTTGAAGGTGGGCTAGATGTTAAAGAAAACGAACCAACATTCTGCTTGATCACATTTACTGCCTGACTGGTCACAATGACCGGTTTCTTGATGGTTTCGTCATGGTAAAACAGTTATAGTAACCAGCGATTTGAGCGTTTCTATCTACTGTTCCTCTACGGTACTGATTGTTAAGTAATAGTTATGTATGTAATCAATGGGAAGAACTAGCATCACAGTGACTGTTACTAACCACAGTTTGAAGCAATCGCATATCTCTGTTTTTTGGCGTGTTTATGTAGCCTGATAGGAAGAAGTATTTACTGCAAATGTAATAAAATTTTGTGAGAACATTCTCCATTATCCAAGAGAACATCACAGAAAGGTCCCAAGAGTTCAACTCTCAGCAGTCAAGCAAAAATCTGTCAAAAATTATTTACTCCGCACAAGTTTTTGTAAGGAGCTCAATGATGTGTTAGGACTTTCGATATCGGTTAACCTAAATTTTGCCTTTCTTTAAAGTAGTCCAAAACATGCACCAACATGAATTCACCTAAACTTGAGAAAAATACAATGATAAATTAAATTTACCTCTGATTCTGAGAACGAGTGTTTCTTGTGGCTTTCCGAACTTCCACTGAGGTCCCGCTAGGTATTTCGATTAATAGCTGCTCAAGTAATGACTTGCTTCGAATAGACTGGTCTCCATCTTCGGCAACATTACTTGATAATTTATCTGTAAATAAGGAAGACCTTTAAGAACACTCATTCATAAACTCAATATTCTTTTCCCCCGATGTGATTGGTGACAAAAAAACTCTCAAATAATTTAAAGCAAAATCGTTGGGGAGGTGTCATGTAGTGTGGCCTCCTGATGTAATGGGTGATCAGATTGCTTTATGAGGTGCAGGGTTCCAAAGTACACGCTCTGATAAGAGAGCCTCATTACACCGAACTCTGATCACCACACTTGGAGTAACAAAGAGGAAATTTGGATCTGGTTGGTAAAATGTAAGAATACTAGAGGAGTGAACAAGCTACGTCAAAATGAGATTTCAGGGAAATTTGATCAAATGAGAGACAGTGGATATTCGATAATCGACGCACTGCTGACAACAGTCTATGTAAAAAAGAGGCGATTATGATATAAAGTGAGCTCCTGATGCTTCGACAGAAATCGCATCACTTATGTTTATTCATTCCCTCATGGTAGACGTTATTCAATCACAAAGTTGATAATTGAACACAAATTTGAAATGTACAAAATATTGAACGCTGAAAACAAAAAATGCACATCTTCATGGCAATATTTACAAATATCCAATGGTATTTGATTTTTTCAAAAGAAAACTCAACCATGATATCTCTGATCAAATTTGTAAGCAAACTTGACGAAAAACACTTTCCTGAAAAATTTAACTTTCTGCATCAGAATTCAGGATACCTTTTGCTACAGACAAATACACATTGGTAAACAAGGAATCAAGGAACATACCAGATGAAGCTTTTCCCTCCGTTGAAGTGGTTTGGGTCGTTTCTGAATCAGGTTTCCGTTTGCGTTTAGGCCGTAAGGAGGTTGATATTGATGAGGACGACTCTCGATGATCCTGATCTGGAGATGGTGATAACTTAGTCTCCAGGACGGAACGCGCACTCGAAACGGCAGGACTCGTAGCGAGCTCGTCCTCAATTGGAGAGGCTGGGGGTGGTGTATCTTCCAGGTGTTTTTCCGGATTGGAGTATGTGTAAAGAGCAGGCGTGACTCTGATTGGCTGCGGATCTTCAACGGCTGGAGAATTTAAACAACTGACAGAGGATTTTGAATCGCTCTCGGATTTAAAATGCAAACTATGTACAGGGTTATCAGTACTTTGAATATCACTACTTATCCTCATTAGATTATTAGAACTGTTCACTAAAATGTTTCTTCTACTATTGTTGTTAATATTTTCTATATTATTATCGGCACCTAAAACACTATCACTCTCACTTTTAACTAGATGATTGTTGTGTAAAAGTCTACAAGAATCTAAGTTGCGTTTTTCAAGAGGCCCAGGTTCTCCTAGATCTTTGTCCCCGCAACTGGCATCGAAATCGTAAATACTTTTGTCGACCTTGGCATTGGGTAAATCTGAGGCAAGACTTTTCTTTTCTAAGCAAATTGAATCCGAATGAGAAATGGGATTCACTGAAGGCACTGATGACAATAATTTTTGATGATCATGATGACTTAAAAAATCACGACCACCCTCAATATGGGATTCCTTCTCGTCTTTGCGACAAGGGCTTTCTCCTTGATTGGGTGATTTTTCTGAGAGAGCATCCATTGATTCGATTCCTGAGTCTTCACCTTGCGTATTTGCATTTTCCCCGCTTGGCCGAGCAGGACTCTCGTTCCCATGACCAGTTAAAGATTCAGCTATTTTGACGACCTGCCCAACTTCCTCTTTGAGGACAACGCTCTCACATTTTAGTGATGCTTCTTTTGATGTATCTTCTCCCAATTTCTGCTTTGTTTTCTTCTCCATCACATTCAACTGATTGGGTAAGCTTGAAGAATTATCAAAACTATTTACAACATGTAGCTTATTCGAACTCTGATCTAAAACTTGCACGCGCCCAACTGTTAATGAATTCATCGGTTTCTTGTTGAAATGACTTCTTTTATATTCTAATTCTTTATGTTTCAAAAGACTGCAGTCTAGTTTCAATCCAAGCTCGTTCTTCAGCTTATTGCAGTTGGATAGTTTACTTTTTACACCAGTTTTATTATTCACCCCTTTCTTCATCAAATCAGTCGAATTGTGATTCATAACGTTTGACTCGGGGTTTGATGAAAGATTATCAGTTCCAACAGATTTAAAGCTTCCAACATCCAACATTTTTGGAAGGTTCGAAGATTTTCCCTTCAAGCTTATGAGACCACTCGTAGCAGATCCTGCAACAAACCGAAAGAAAACCAAAAATGAAAGACATGTAAGAAAATTCTACAATGGATTTGGAGAAAAATAGAACAAGGCACTAGACACCGAACAAACTAAAGAGCTCCTTTTCATATGCTCCCTCTTCAAAATTTTAGGTAAAATTTTATTCAAATTTTAGTAAAAAATGTTTAAACTAAGATAAGGTAAAATTTGGTTCAATAATCAACTCCTGACGAAGAAATGATTATATATAATTAACATTAGCTAGATAACAAAGATACAAATGACGTTAGTAAGATTCTTGTTTCTTTTGATCAGTGTTAAAAATACATGCTAAATTCTCATTTGGGAATTGATTTAAATGCTTTTTTTTGGAAAAATTGCTTTCTACGTAAATTTTACAAGAGGTAACATATTCTGGGCTTCTTCAATTACACCTTGTCTGGTGGCAGGTTCCTGGTGGTTTCTACATTGTTGGTAAATGGGTTAATACTCTTACAGCATATGGGACTGCCTTTCAGATAAGGAAGCATAATGCTGCACAATGCAATTACACTGCTGTTTTGATGTAGTTGGTGTTAGGCTACCTAGGACTTTCAAGCTAGTTTTGAAATCCTAATTGAAACAGGGAAATTCCGAGGTAAAGGGGGAAAAAAAAGGGATCTATTATCAAGTCTGAGAAAAGATTTGGTTGATTTTCAACTTTATGGAGGCTGATTTGTAGCAAGGCTGTTTTTTCAAGGGCAGATCCTCGCTCATAATGGGAACTGTGGATTTAAAAGCCTGCGATGGTGGCATTGAGCTGATAAAACACTTCTGCTTGGATACTTTTATCATTGAATTCATTTTACACAAAATGCAAGATAAGTGGGACTTGTATTTGGAAAAATAAGTATAATCTGTGGAAGGGTTAAAGACACTTAAGTGGCATTGATGTCAGTGCCATGCAGATGGTGTCCAAAATCTTTAAAAAATAAAACTTTAAAAATAAGACGAACCTGTGGCGAATGAAGCATCTTTGGAATCACCACTGAGCCTGCGCTGACTTGAAACACCCAACAAGCCTCCTGTTTTAGTTGTAGAACCTGGTTCGTTGGAGGACAATCCATTGGTGACACTTCGAGCATTGGCGGTTCTTGCAGCAACAAGAGATCGATCTTTGGCCACAGTTTTGACGACACTTTTGAAAAGCGAGGCTCCTTTGCTCTTGGTAGTGCGTGCGGTATTCGAAGACTTGTTGATTCCAGAATCTAATTTATTGAACACATGATTTGGAGATTCATCAGTCATTTTATAACTTGTTAGAAGAGATCTTTCACGGGGGAATTTTTTCTTTAAGTCGCGCTTCTTAATTTTATTACTAACGCTCAGACTCATTTTGTGACCATCACTCGGCACTGATCTAAGAATCGAAGCAACCTCTGCTTCTGTAGGGTATACAGGAGTGTACTGTGATGTCACTTCACCTTGTTCCACGCTTAATAAGTTATCGTCAGAATCACAACTATTTCTTCCCTTACACTTATTTTTTAATTTTAAATCACTTATAGTATCACGATCTATTGTATTATTTACAAAAGGCTTTGCAGACATTTTACAACCTGATTGGTATTCGCTGCTATTCACCTTCTTTAAACTACTATCTTTTGTACATGTTTTCAGCTTTGAGTTGCCAGACTTTTTCAACTCACTACTTCGAAATGGCTCGTCTTTCCATTTTTCTTTCTTTGAACTAACAACAACTGCAGCATTTCTCCCTCTTAATGATATGTGAAGAGGAGGTACTCTAGGCTCTTCATTAGACACACAAGGTGTACCAACTGGCGACGAAACATTCGTTGGGCTTCCTTTACTAGCAATACCTTTATCAGACTTTTTCGAAGTTGAAACAAATGACACATCAACTTTATATGCTGGTGTGACAGGTTCGTTCTTTTCTAACTTAAGCCTTAGTTTAATTTTCTCTCCAGAGGGATTGCACGTGGGACTTGGGCTAACAGTTGATCTCACTCGGTGCCGACTAACAGATGAAGTATCACTATTTGTTGACCTCACTGTCGCTTCGGAGTCCGACTGATCAGTGGTCGTTGTGTCTGCACGCCGTGAGACAATTGAGCTAATATCATCGTCATCATCATCTGAAAACATGGAGTTTGACCTGTCATTCAATGGTGATGGAAAACTGAATAGCGGAAACTCTACAGCTGAAGTAGAATTGGGTACAGTGTCTCTTTCGTCAGTTTCACTTTCAGAACTGCTTTCACTCGGCATTGGTTCCAAATCTCCAGTCAGCGGGTTGATAAGCATCTGACGTTCCTTTCCCGAAGAGGTTAATGAAGGCGAGTGCAAATTGGGTATCTGACTAGTTTCTGCAGTTGCCTCTTTAAGCCCTTCCTGGCCATACTTTTGCGTCGAGCTTATGGGTGTTGTTCCAGACGAAGACCATGGCTGATTCACCTGTGATACATCAGTGATAGGTCTTGAAGGAAATGTATTCTGAGGTTGTCTTCCCGTCTGTTGAGAAAAATTAGGAACAATATTCGCTGAAACACTACTGTTTGTTGAAGTTATTCGATTTGAAGAAGGTAGCTTGTCACTTATGGAGTTATGATTGGGAGTCAAACGTGCCGGGTTCTTATCGTTGACAGTAAGATGAGCTGATGCTGCTGATGAAATGGGCGTCGACTGAGCAAAGACAGTGAGAGGAGAATCAGCAGTGAAGTTCATACAACTTACATCAGTGAAACTGGCAGGAACCGCTTTCGACTGATGAGAAGTGGAGAGACTAATCGTCGTAGGATTGGAGAGAGAAGTTTGGGAAAGTTGCTGATTCTGACAGTTATTTGATAGGAGGTACTGCTCTACTGCTTGGTCGAGATTAGATGTTACGGCAGGTGTGACAGAGGCTGACATTACTGTTGCCGAGAGTCCATTGTTAGGCTGGTTTGCTTGAAATAAATGGTTCTGATTTGAAGGAGGTGTTGGATTATTGCTATTCAAATTATCGTTGATACTGCTGTACGGAGAGTGCTGTTGTTGGTTGACAAGCAGGTGCCTTTGCGTCTGTGTTAGTACTCCATGATTTTGGTGGGAGACTAAATTTTGAGCATTCTGCACTGGATTTGGCTGTGAGCAAGGAGTGGACTGAGTCAGCGGCTGTTGTTGCTGGTTCTGTAGCTGTTGTTGTTGTTGTTGTTGCTGCTGCTGCTGCTGCTGATGGGGTTGTTGGTGTTGATGCTGAAACATAGAATTTGCACTATTTCCTTGCCTTGAAGACGCATTGACAACTGGTGACATAGAATTCGGAGACTGAATGAGTGTATCGGATGAATGCAGTAATGCTGGTGGTTGCCCGATTGATAAGTGGGGATCCACTCTATTTTGTACACTGGTAACCAAAATATTATCACTGACCGGTTGCTGAAACCTTTGAACTCTCTGACTGGCACTGGCATCAGCACTGACACATACAAACGCTGAACTGGTGGCATGGTGTTGAAGCACGTCTGATGGTATCTGTTGATCTTGCCGCCCGCCAATCGCAGATCCTGGATTATTAGCTTGCTGCACACGCTGAAGCTTCTTCTCCATTAGAGCAGCATTCGGTGGAGGCATTTTATTTACAGCTTGTGAAGCAACTCCATCATTGAGGAGGAGATTCACAAGTAAAGGGCTCGACAGAGCAACGTTCGCTGCACCACTTGTAGCAGTCGTACAGTTTTCTGTCGAGTTGGACCTTTGCGTTTTGAAGAGAGCTGATTGCGAGCTTGGATACGGTGGAGGCGGAAAGGAATTCTGCGACGAACTTTGCTGCAACGATTCTCTGTTGTGTATGGCTTGAGCGGCATGCGTCATACTCGTAAAGGGGAACGGCCCCTGATATGGGTGGGCTTGAGCAGGCGACTTGGACCCCAATGAGACTGCTGGTGGAGATGCTTTTAGAAAGGGAATCGGATCACCATCTGCAGGAGCTACAACATTGGGGCTTCTAAAATGAGCGGTCGAAGCTTCCAGAACTTGAGCTACAGATCGGATGATAGAGTTAGCATTTGATGCTGAGTTGGACTCCGGCTCCCCATTTTGCATTGAACCGCCACTAGATCCCACCTCATTTCCACCAGTCCTTAAAACTATCTCTTGCGCATCTCCTCCGCATCGGCTTGCTATTCGCAAGGATATCACCTGATAAGACAAACAAAAACGGAACTAATTATGATGTACTTAGTGGCTCTTGTTTCATCAAGACACATTTTTGATCAATGAAAAACGACTTCTTTCTTCCAGGGTTTCTACTTTTCTTCAACTTTCAAATCCCTGTGTTTTCCCTGATTGATGGCATAAAATAACTCTGTATAACTCCTTCCTCATAGAGGTGTAACCTTATCAGTCTTTCAAGGTTCTGATAGTTGACGACTTAGAAAGGCTAACTCTGTCTTTAAAATTCCTTTTCTAACTTCACTTACACACAATCTCATTCTAACAAAAATGTTGGGGAAAAACCGGAATAATCAATGATCATGATTGTTCGGATTTTGATAACGCCAGAGGATGGCTATGTGAGCCGAAAAGCACTTTGCAGCATGTAATAAAACCAACAAAACTGAAGCATCATGGCTAAAAAATTCTTTTCATTCTTCTGTTTCAATATACCATAGATACCTCTATCACCAATATATTAAAATGTTCAAATAGATAAACTTTCTTTTTGAAAAAGCAAAAATTCCAGAATCAACGTCAAAGTCCCTGGATTATCGATGCGTTTTCTCTCGAAATTCCATTCCCTTGGTTTTCCTGGTTATTCACAGTAGTAGAAATCCTGTTTTTCTTACTCACAATTTCACATTTGTTCTGTTGCTATGCTACCTGTCCTTATACCGCTGTAATTAAGGGGTTTTGCAAGTAAATGACTGGTGAGTTGAATAATATTTTCACCTGTACAGGGACTAATTTTTCAACCTTTAAAATCACAAATCAGATGCAAAGAATGTGATCCTACTTTTGCACATTTTACAGATCCAAAGCATGAATGAAAAATTAAGTGAAACTAACAAAGCAAATGGCTCTGAAAATCTTCGATAGGTTTTAAGGGGTGGCAAAGTTATTTCATTTACCTGGTCCTCTACTTGCACAGAGAGGATTCCCAATTGCGTCAGCGCAGTATCTGCTTGCTGCGCCAACTGTTGCAACCTCACGGCAGCTTCTCGTGGGATTGTAAAAGTTACACGAACCGAATTCCATGGCTCCACTTTGTTGACATGCAACTTTTCTTCACCTGGGGGCAGTAAAATAAAGAAGGCAATGAGAGTAAGAAAAATCTACATAGACTGAAAACAAGCACTGATAGAGGATATATTGACCTGGAATAATCAAATCTGACATTCATTTGACAAAATTTCTCATGTTTAAGAAAAATAACAGAGGTTATTGAGAAAGGAGCTTTCACCAATCAGAGCTGTATTATAGATTTTGATTTACAATTCCATCAATATTATTTCCCAGTAATTCATCTAACGAAGCATCACAAATTTTACAGAACTGTTACAATACATTTATTTACAAACAAATTATTTGTTTGCAACAATGCACACAGCCGATGTTCGCTCTAAGTACAAACAAAAATCTTTTTTCGTATAAACCAGTAAGTATCAGAAAAATTTTGATACTGGCAGCATTCCTTCCAGGAAAATCAAAAGAGAAGTAAAGAAATAGTTTGCTCCCTTCAGGAAATACGTTAAAGAGTCATACCTTTAAGGAGAAGTTTCCGTAGATCACACACAATCTGATTAAATCGGAGTGGAAACTGAGGGTCGTAAAGATTACCCTCACAAGTGATGACCGTTTCTATTAACTCAGCTGGTCCGCCACCGTCACTATCAGCTGCCATCTCACTAAAAAAAAGAAAACATAACATATAAATAGAGTATTTAGTGAATCAGTACTTCAACTAAGATAAATGAAGCAACTAAGACAATTCAAATGGCTCAGAAAACCCCCCTCCCTCATTCCTAGCTTTCCAAAAGAATGTTAAACACCATTTTTGGATGAGGTCACTTTGCGAGTGATCGAAGGTCCAGAGGGCAGACCCCTTGCCTAGGTGCGGTGGCGAGCAAAACAAGCTGAGGCAGCTAGTAATTCATAAAATCCAAAAATCATTCAACATCAAAAATTCAAAGGGAAGGCTTTTCTTTTGGTTATTTTGAGTCGGACGAAATCACAGACCAAGAGGACAAACAGGAAATTGAGCCGAAGGAATCAGAATTACACGACCCCAAAGATTTTCTCCCGGATCCCATGGGGAACAAAGAGGAGGGGGGGGGGGGTGTGTCTTGCCTTAGAAAATCGGGGCTTTCATCACTATTTTAAAATTAGTCCATCAAAATCAGAAAAAGCAGAAAATTCTGACCTACATCGATACCAAAATGTCCAAAATTAGTCCATCCTTGACCACAAGGTTGACCCCTGAAATGAAGGAGCCGGGACCCTCTAGAAATGATTTTAGTCATAAAATTGACGTAGAGACAACAACAAAAAAAAAAAAAAAAAGAATATGATAATTTAAAAGGTAATTGACCCCAAGAAAACCGAATCAGACGGTCTAGAAGCTCCTGGGAACTTTCTGATGGGGTACTGAAAAGGCCTTGCAGGCTGATTATTGAAATTGATAGACAAAGCTTTGGACAAAGAAGCCAAAAGGGATATGAAGGGATCCTATTGGCGGAAGAGGGTGGTTGCAATGGACAAAGGAGATAGGTAATAGACTGATTAACGACAGCGACAACGCATGAGAAACCCTATAATTAGTCCATCATTTTCTCCCTTAGTCTGTAGGGACCTGGGACCACCCATTTCAACAATTAGAATTGCTCCATACTCCCTATGACTTCTTTGTCTATCAAATTCAATTATCAGCCCGTTGCTGGACTTATCAAATTTAAAAGTTTAGGGCCGCCTTTATACCCAATCAAGCAGGCCCCCCTGGGGACTTCCGGACCGTTGGATCAGAATTCTTCGGATCGATTACCTATGAGAACATCTTTTTTCTGTGAATTTGAAAAACTTCTGAAAATATAGAAGCCAACGAATCATTTTCAATGCTTGATAGAGGAAGAGAGGGAAAAATAAAATTCATGAGAAAGTAGGCTAGGCATTAATGGCACCAATATGATGTTGGACCCTAAAAAACCAACAATATAAGATGACTTCGGCTAAGTACTTGTACAAAATGTGCTGGAGTCAGACAAAGGATTCTTAAGGCGGAACACCTTTTTTTTATTACTATGATTTATTTGATTCCAATAATTCAATTAGATTAAATGCTCAAAGAGCCTTATCTTGGGGCGACGGGTGACATTTTGTTATGACGAGCGAAAAAAGTGAAGGGCGCTCCGGCTTTTTGAGTGGCTAGAGCTGGATGCAACTATTTGTGTTTGTTTTCTGGATGTCCGTATTGCATACACCAAAAATTGGAGAGGCTCTGGCATTTTTAAAAGGCACAACGTATGACTGAGACCGTTTGTTCCACGGTTTGTCCATGATTCATTTCACGATAACTGGCATAGTTTTGTCGTCGTAACAGACAACACCTTTTTCGGTCATATTTTTAGTAGATTTGATAATCACTCGAATTTTTTCGCATTCATCTTCAAAGGGTTACGTATTAAAACGCTTTCTAATGATTTATTGCTCTACTTCTCAATTAATATTATGTAAATTCCGAAAATGTGCTGTTACGCGGTAAAAAGTCAGAGTAACAGATGGCACATTTTCGGCCAATTATACATTAGATTGAGAAGTAGAGCGATAAATCTTTGAAAAGCGTTATAACACGTAACCCTGTGTAGATTAATGCAAACAAATTCGAGGGATTATCATTACTACTAAAAATATGACCGAAAAATGTGTTGTCTGTTACGGCGACAAAACTATTCCAATTATCGTGAAACCACCCACGTCTTCAGTATGCGACGTAGCAGACTTTCTGTCATAATTTATTTCTTAAATGGAAAACTAACCAACATCAATTCTTGAAAAATTCGGTGATTTTTTTTTCTGTGTGCGAAAAATTGTCAGCGAAAACCTCCAGAAATTATATTAATTTGTTCTCCTCCAAAAAAATAAACTGGGGGCAGAGACTTTCAAACATCGCAAACGAGGTGCGTCGTCGGGTAGTTAAACCGTCGATTAACAATCGTGCTTCCCATTAAATCCTCTAAATCGGACATGTTTATGCTCAAAGGAACTAAGTCACACGGAAACCCTATGCACATAGTTCCTTATAGCACGAATACGTCCGATTCAGATAAGTAGTGTAGCACCATAGTAGCATTGCGAAATGGTGCAGAATTACGGAAATCGCGACCGATGAAATTTCCACCTTTTGCTCTTCTCTCTTAGAATCGTTGTGATTAGAATTTTTAGAGGAAACCCTTCCACAAAATACACTTAAAATTAAAAGGATGTAGAGGATTTTATATTCAAAATATCTGGAAGGACGTGGAATTTTGAAATCCCAGAAATCTTTTCACCCTAGGAACAGCGATCATCACAAAAGGTCGTGATCCTGCTCGTTTTAGCCGAAAAGGGTCCTGCAAATTGCAGTATTTGGCAACCCTGCCACATAGGTACGGGGGATGGTAAATACATGGTATACGATTTTTACGAAATTACAAGAAAATTAAATATGAAGACTCGGAACTTATATGACTTGGAAGTTAAAGTATGTAATTGCCGCATTAAGTCTCCATTTTAGGTATTGCTAAAATAAAGGTATTGGACATATTTATTTTTGATAAATTACTTATTTCTCTTTGCCATTTGATTAAAAAGCAAGACAGCCTTATCTAGGTAAAACGACGATTTATAAATGCGATGAGTGGCACACTTTGTAATCACGAGCGGCAAAAATGAGGCGCTCCGGCTGCTTCAATGACAAGGTGCGAATGCAACTATTCGTGCTCTCTGGATGTCCGTGTTGCATACACAAACAATTGCAGGCGCTCCGGTTTTCTTACGCACAACGTGTGCCTGCAATTGTTACTTCTCAAGGGTTTTCTGCGTTGCATTTACACTTGTGTTTACTTTAAAATCCTCCGAGTTCGAGTGAGCCATGTTGCATTACGGCAGCGTGGCCAAATGCTCCCATTTGGTTTTTCCTCCAAAATCATTTCCGGAGAGGCATCGCGGATGTCAATCCCGCCAATTACTATCCATAACATCTCCGCAATTTGCAACATGTTGCAACGCTGGCAATGTGGTACACGACTCATCCGAATTCGGAGTATTTCATGGTAAGCAGAATTGTAAAAGCAACTTGGAAAACCCAAGAAAATACCCAAGAACCCAATAAATAAAAACTGTAGTCATAAATTGTGCTTAAAAAACCAGAGCGCCTGCAATTCGTATGTATACAGCACGGGCGTCCAGACCTAGCCATTAAAAAAGCCGGAGCGCCTTGATTTTTTCCGCTTGTCATAGCAAAATGTGTTTCTCATAGCATTCAAACATCGTCAATTCAGTGTTCGAAACTCAAAGGCGCCAACGCGTCAAATGTGCCAAAGAAATCGGTCATGGCGCATAAAAAATGAAGGCTCTGCGCCAATGTGGCCCTTAAAAATTGCCCTCCCTCCCTCAAAAAAAAATTATAATTTTTCTGTTAGGTGATTTTTCGAAATTTGTCCCAAGTTACAGTTCCTAGGTCTGTAACTAAAACATCTTGTGTCTAACTTTTCACTGAATGCGCCGTGACAGATCGGCAAAAAGTCAATCTGGCCCATAAAAATCGTGTTTGATGCGTCACATGGCCCCCTGAAACTCAAAGGTGAGTTTAGAATGCTGATCATCATTGCACAAAGATAGGGATATTTGAGAACTTGGATGAAATTTTAAAAATGAGATAAGTAAATTAATGCAGGGTAACCCAGACCTACCGTACCAGGCCTTTTTTCGGTTAATTTGGGTCGTACGAAGTCCAGGATCGCGGAGATAAGTTGGGAATTGAACCCAAGGAATCCGAATTTCATGGTCTCAGAGCCTCCCTGGCGCCCCTTGGGACATAAAAGGGGGGTTTGTACTTCAAAAGTTAGGGGTTATGTCAAAATTTGAAATTATTTCATCGGAATCAGAACGTAGGGAAATTTTTCACTTAAATCGACACCCAAAAATCCAAAATCGCCCCAACCGTGTCCAAAATACCGACCCCTAAAGGTGGGGGACAGAGCCCCCTTTCAAAAAATTTCAAGTTCGTTAAATTGACGCGGAGACTCGGAAAAAATGTGTATTCATGGGTAATCGACCCCAAGGAATCCAAAGAGGGTCCCTTTGTCCTCAGAGACTTTTCTGATGGGGCACAGGGGTAACCTCCACACCGGTTAAAGTTAAAAGTTCAGAGTCCCCCTGTGCCCCATCAAAAAAGTCTCTGAGGACAAAGGGACCCTCAAATTTGGATTCCTTGGGATCGAATACCCACGAGTACGCATTTTTTCCGAGTTTTCACGTCAATTTAACGAACTTGAATTTTTTGCAAGAGGGCTCTGTCCCCCACCTTTAGAGGTCAGTACTTTGGACACGGTTGGGCCAATTTTGGATTTCTTGGTGTTGATTCAAGTTAAAAATTTCCGGACGTTTTGATTCCGATGAAATAATTTCAAAATTTTGACATAAACCCTAACTTTTGAAGTACGAACCCCCCTTTTTCCCCCCAATGGCCGCCAGGGAGGCTCTGAGACCATGAAATTCGGATTCCTTGGGTTCAATTCCCTACTTATCCCCGCCATCCTGGACTTCGTACGACCCAAATTAATCAAAAAAAGGCCTGGTACGGTAGGTCTGGGCCACCCTGGATATAATAAATAAAGATATAACTAAGGACTGGAGACGATTCATGCAGCAATTACTAGCCTGACCTCATCAATAATCGCACTTTTTAATTTCTTCGGAATCTCCTCATTTAATTTACTTGCCAATGAGTAAAAATCGTAGCGTTGCCAAATACTCAGTGCAATTTGAGGAACTGGTATGGGCCGCAACAAGTTGAATCACGACCTTTGGTGATCATCGCTGTTTATAGGATGACAAGATTTCTTGGATTTAAAAATTCCTTGACTTGTCAGATATTTTAAACATAAAAATCCTCCACTTGTCGTGGCTTTTCGATGTTTCGTCGGCATGACTTCCGATAAAAACCCTAATCGCGAACAATTCTGAGTGTGAAAGTGAAAAAATGTGATGTTTTGTCTGGAGGGAGAAATTTCCCTAACTTTTCAAAACTAACAAACTAACAAAATTCCCTAACTTTCCTGATATATCAGGGTTGGGCAAAATTCCTTGAGCCCTGCACCATTTGGCGCAACGAAAACTCAAGAAATTAATCTTTTTGAAGCAATGCTAAGTTTAAGGATGAAAAACAGGGAGTTCCGGAAAAGCACTGATGCCAGCTTCGGAACCAATTCACGTACATACAGCGTTCATCACATCCTTAAAATGTAAATTATCATTTGAAATTTTCACCAGGTGTTCTTCAGGTTATTAGATTGTGTCTAGCATTGAAAACTGCAAATTAATATTTCTGGCCCCTAATATGTTTCTCAGCAGCACTTATCTATTTGAGTCTAAATTTTAAGGAACCTTTCCCCTGACTTCATCACAAATGGATCACATTTTGAAAAAAGGAACCAGCGCGATTACAGTGTTTTTAAAATCAAGCAACTTCTTCTTATCTTTTAAAAATGCAAAATTTAAGTGCAGTATTAAAATGTATGCAATAATTTTTTTTTAAAATTATTAATTTTTTGGTGGGAAGCAAAAAATATTCGCTATTCTGGAAGATTTTTTAGATAATAATGAAGAAGCAAAATTTTTACAACACTGTAATTGCGCTAGTTCCTTCTGGCAAAATGTGATCCAAATTATGAGATGCCAAAAGTAACATTGCTGAAATTTCGGTATAGCATCACTTCACATAGTACTGGATTTCACGGTAAAATATTGGATACATAATTTTCCTCCTTGTTGTTGTCTCTATCTCACCAACAGTGGCAACAAAAATGTTGACTTCACCTACAAAATTGTGCTTATAAAAATGAATGAAGAAGGAGATTGAAAGGCATTGTTAGAAAATATGTTCTGAAAACGGATGAATTTTGAGGGACAAAGGGAGAGAGGGATTGAAAAAACGTTGATTAAAGGTTAAACGTTGATTAAAGGTTAAACGTTGATTAAACGTTCACCTAAAAAAGGGTGACACCTTAAAAAGTTGAACCGGAAATGAACAAACCTAACCACAGAGGATACGCGAGAAAAAAAATTAAAAACTGTCTGAAATGAATTGACAAAACCTAATGAAAGTGCTAAGAAAGTGAAAAGTAATAGGTACTCCAGCATTTATATAAATTTAGATTTATGTTTTTTTCTTTCATGTATTGAAATTAAAAATAAAATTTTTTTTCCAGTACTTGTGGAATTCATAAAATTGCTATCACCCATTAAGATTTAGGTACTAATACTTACTTGATTTAAGAAGAAACTTAAAGGTCATAATGGTTAAGAATGAATGTGCTGTTGCAAACAAGCACTCCTCAGGGTTGCCACAGAATTTAGAAGATGAAATTGCCTGACATTTCCCCGACTTCCCCAACACAATTTGGTCAAATTCCCTGACAATTATGGATACGCCAGATGATCGAAAAAACATAACTTGAAATAGTTTCAGGCATGCAGAATCTTCTACGCTTCCACATTTTCACGCGCCCGCTCGTCAGCTTTCCACATTTTTCCCCACCAGTTTTCCACAAAATTTCTCACCACTTGGAACAAAAATGACCTTTTTCTCCTGTTTTATATTAACTTTTGACTTTAGACCCTTCAAAATGTTCCCTCCTTCCACATTTTTCGGGGCTCTTAAACATTTTCATGCGCCTGGGCACGCGCATGATGGCGCATTTTCTGCGCCCCTGGTTTCCACGCAATAGTAGTTGTTTGAAACATCAAACCCATTTTGGCCACAAATAAGTTAAAGTGACCAAACAATTTTTCCCTGTCACTGTAGTCATTTCCCGGTTTTCCCTGATTTCTTAGTATCCTCTAACCATGACAACCCTGATTCCTAGTATAAGATGGGTGAGCAAAAATGCATAACATACATTTCTGCTTCCTCAAGAATGATAGGTGAGTGCATTTAACTTCAGGGTGGCTTTTCAGATGAAACTGAGCTTTTTAACATGGGATTGAAAGTTACAAATCAAATAAAAAAATTCTAACCTGAACCCGCATGATCTTTCTAAATATGAATACAGCTCTTCCACATCACATGTCCTAAAACAGAGGAAGGAATGAGGATTAGAACTGACAAGTTGGGATTAGGAAAGGACACAGTGAATCATGAACATGAGTGTATTGCAGTCCTGCAGCCTGATTGTTGAGAAGGCACAAAACTCTTAGCACCCCTCCTACCAATGAAGCACAGAGACTATACAAATTCCAGGTTGATGATGTAACTCCCAAACCTCGCATCTAGCTTACAATTTTACAGACTTTCGGTCATACTTCATTTTGAGATGGATAACGACATGACGACAATTATTACAAATTTCCACGATTTTCCTTCTCTATGCAAATAAAAATGTGGGAAAACTTCAAGGAGCATTGCTATTTTGTTCTTGCTAAAAAAAAATGGGGATGAAGATTTTAAACCACGGCAAACAAGTTACATGGTTTGGAAGTTTCACTGTCAAGGTATATCCTTTAATCATCTTTGTGCTTCGATTTCTTCAACTATCTGTAACTTTCATATTCGAGGCACTATATGGAGTAGAGACCAAAATTTACGAAATTGCTTAAATCCCGAAAAACTTTGGGACATACTCAGCGCAGTGGCTTAGCTGGCAAAATTAGCACCGTATCTCTGAGAGCACTGAATTAACTAACTAGCTACATCAGAAAATTTACCGGTTAGCAGCCTGATTGATGAAATTTTGTATTTGCCTGGCAGACAAGACAAAATAAGTAAGTACAGTGAATTGGATGTATGTAATTGATTGGCTATGCTTAGGTGACCACGGAGGGTACCTTTTCAGGCTGAATAATTGCTTACTTAAAGGAACCTCCTTGCTGGCCGATCACCAGTCGGTTAAACTCAGCCCTGCAAGCCACCTTTCTTGGCTTCTCCCATCACCTTAACGACCAATCACATAGCCCCAATGCACCTTATCTTGTCATGTTCACCAGACAAACACAAAATTTCAAGAATCAGGATACCTTATAGGGAGAAAAATCAGACCTAAATTCTTTCTTTCTCAATAATTTATTCCACACTTAACCTTGGCAAAAGAAGTATGCTTATGTTTCCAACCCCCATCATATTCCTCAGTCAAGCAAATAAATATGAAAGTAAGTACTTTCAAAAGGTATTCATTAGCATAGGCATGTAATTTAAAGAATCATCCAAATAATTCTTGGGTGGATATACATCCTTCAACTTAACCACTGGATAAAGGTACAGATCAATGATTCAGATAACTATAATACATGAACCTTGAGATAATTCTGAAAGGAGGCTGGTTAAGAATAAGGTCAGGATAAATTCATCAGATACAATTGAGTAAGCCAGTCAATTGAAATGGTAACAAAAAACTCTCAAGAGTGTAATAGATGAATTCATATTTGAGGCCATAAGGGATTCTCGAGAGCCAACATGGTCCATGTTTTGATATGATATGAAGTTATACCAAGAATAACAATTGCGCACCAGAATTTTGATTTAAAGCCTTTGCAATAGATTAAAGCAATATACTTATATCTCTTAAACAAATCTGCCTCCCAAGAAAGCATTTCCCATTAGTGCATATTGGGTCATATCCAATACTGGTGACAAACTTTCCTGATTATGTGTCCTGAGAGGGGACTACAAAGAAGGTGCAGGGCTCATATGACTGAGATACTTCATGATTACTAAAGCTAAGAATTGGTAGGAGCGGTTGTCCATCCTCGATATTACATATAAATCCCCTGCCAAAGCTTAAAAAGTGATTAAGCAAGGAGGAAAAGCCTAGCTTGGTCCTGACCGAAGATTTAATAACAATAATTCCAACTTATCATCCCTATTGAAATTAGGCTTAACAAGCCTAAAAAAAGAAGTACACAAATAGTCATTTTGAGGTTAAAAGAATTAAACAGGGGGAAAATTGATGGTAATCTGGAGAATATGACTAAAATATGATCATAGGCTGCAAGAGGAAGAGGGATCAGTGGAATAATCGTTGTTTTAGAAATATCCTCCCGCTAGCTGACCGATTAGAAAGGGGATTCAGATCCGACCTCCATTTTGTGACATGGGGGAGTGGAAGTCCATTCCAGCATGCTCTAAATCCCTTGTAGATTATGCCTAACTTATTGTTCCCACTGAATTTCGGGGACCAACGAGAGGATTAAAATTGTCTGAGAACTACAATAATTGTTCCTCAACCCTTTGATTGAGAAACGTAGCTCGCGGAAACTCCAGTCGTTATCAGAAAAAAAGAGAATTCGAAATTCAGGTAACAGTGCTTACCTAGCTTACGTATATCCATTAAAACAGCGATCATAAAACACCGAACTTGTTTACACTCCACGGGAAATTGAAAATCACATTCGGAAACCTTTTCCGTAATCTAAAAGTGCCACATTTTAATTAATTATAAACAATTCAAGTGAAATTTGACGAACAAAGTCACGAACGACGGGGAACAATAACAAGAGCCGCCATTTGCAAAGCTTACTACTGTCATGCGCAGAAGCGCTGTTGCATGATGGGAGTTGGGAGATCCTTGCTTCTTCGCGGCAAAGGGTTAAAGACAAGACTTAACAGACCCATACATGCGCCTGGTTTCCTGCAACCTTTTATGCAAATAAGTGCTGATTTTGCCCATCGTGTAGCATTTCATAGTTTTTTTTTTTTTTTTTTTTTATGTCAGATTCTTAACAATTCGAGAAAAAAGAGTCACTCGGTTACCCTAAAAATTTAAAGGAAGCTCTGATACAGCCTGTGTTTTCATAAGAATTACTCTGGATGCAATTAATGCTTAAATCCCTCTTAAACTTTTATGAAAAAGAATTTTCATCAGGCTCCAGCATCTTCTGACGGTGGTTGGCAGGATGGCAAGTTTTTCATCATGGGCTTCCAAAACAAGCTGTGAATGATTTGATTGCCTGAAAAATATTAGAGTCAGTGTCAAACTTTACTTTCCCTTCAAAATCATTGAGATATAAAACCTCCCCCCCCCCTCTTCCAAATCATCGCCTCCAAATAGGTAATATAGGTAGATAATCCAAATTGACAAAAAAAATTTCAAATCAGTCATCAGTTCCCATTTCTACTCTTTGAGCCCTCTCATTGGCTACCCAAGGACGTAACCATCTTGATGACGAAAGCCAGGTCAGTTTAGAGCCGGGCGCACACCGATTTTTACCGTGGATTTTTAATTAATTTGAGATAAAATGTCCAAGTCATCCGGGTAATTAAAAATATAATAAAATCCAGGATTTTAGAGATTCTTCACAAAACGAGTCAACATGACAATGGTAAATTTTCAATTGACCTAAAAAGTGTCCTCAGAAACTTGGCAGCGGTATAAGTAACATTGATGACGTCACTTCTCTGGGTGATTTTCAATTGGTCCAGCAGGAGTCCACTGCTTGACCCGAATTTTCATCATTACTATCCGTCTATCCTCTTCTATCGTTATCATATCATTTCTTCCGCGCAATTTTGTGTGCATTTTGGCATTTTTCGTGTTTCTCTTGATTAACGGAACAGTGTTACCTCAACATGTTTCTATTTTTATCGTGCTCTGTTGATTCCCTTGCCAATTTACCGTAGGTAAAATCTGCGGAATGACTTAATCGAGCGTCGTTATCAGTCAGTGTTCACTTTTTCCAGGTATTTTGTCTGCACTGAGATTCATCGCTGTCGAACGTACGCACTACGCGTAGAAAGAACATACCCGGAGACAACGCATCCGTGTCTTTTTTCTATTAAATTTCATCAACTCTACTTTGCTGTGAATGGACGATCGTGCCGAAATCAGCAGTGATACCTAGAGTCCGTGGATATTTTCTCCTCAATCTTGTTTCCAAGTTCTGTGTCTCCTTTTCCTCAACCCTAACCTTGGTTACATTCGGGCACAATGAGTTTGCAATGGACTGTCGTAGCCGTTGTTTTGTACGTTGAACTGACTCTTGTTACTCTCTTAATATTGCCAATTCTCTCTGCCAGAAGATGGCAGAAAATTTTCAAATCCCGGTCTCTACAGTTTCTCTATGGCTGGGCGACATATCTCTTTGGTTTCATCCTGTGTGTACTAGTCATATTTCTATTGGATGCCATCCGGGAAATGAGGAAGTACTCCAACCTTGAACACACCGAAGGTGCTCATGTCCACATGGATGCAGAGATGCAGTTTAATATGAAACTTTTCAGAGCTCAAAGGAATTTCTACATCTCAGGATTCTCTTTATTTCTTAGTTTTGTAATTCGTAGGCTTATAATTTTAATATCTCAACAAGCAGCACTCCAGGCAGAGACCGAAGCAGCTCTTGCTCAAGCCAAGAGTGCCACTTCCACTGCTAATGCTCTTATGAACAAGAAAGACGATCCTAAAGAGTCTGAAAGTAAAACAGCTGAATTGGAGAAGAAGGTGCAGAGCCTCGAAAAAGAACTTGAAAAGACCTTGAAGGACAAAAATGCCATCAAGAGTCAGGCTGAGTCTGTTAGCAAAGAGTATGATCGTCTAATGGAAGAGCATGCGAAAGTGTTGAAAAAAGTAGGAACGGCAGCTGGAGACAAAAAGTCTGACTAAGATACGCATCTGTAAGAGTGTTTTCAGGGATGTCGGTTTTTTGGCAAAGCATTTAAATACCTATTTTTTTCTTCAGAAAGAGTCTGTTTTTCTTGAAGTCGTGGATCTAAATCCACATTTGTACCTGAGGAAATGTATTGTTTCAATTGAGCAGAACTATTTTATTTTTTCTCTCCTCAAAGCCTAACATTAAGTAGGGTGAAATAGCACTGTTGTTTCACAGTTGCAATAGCTGGTCCTTTCAGGTGTAGGTAGGGAGAGGATTTAAGGGTTGAGTGATGAAAAATGTTGATAGTTCATTGAATTTCAATACTCACTTCTCTCATGAAACAGAAATTTTTTCTTTTTCTGGTCCAGGAGAGTCAACTTGTTAGTATATTTCCTCTAGATATTGTGAAAAGATTGGCTTCTTTCCAGAGAAAAATGATTTTTCTGAAGATACCTAATTAAAAAATCGGCATCCCTACTTCTTTGTTTGGAATGTTAAAATGATTGACATAATCCTGAATCTACGTCCCTCCTCTTACCTTTAATTTAAATCTTATATCCTTGTAAATTCATTTACCGTAGAGATTTAGTTCACTAATTTTCGGCTGTAACATTGTGTTGGATTTATTTTTAAGTCATATTTTTTACTTTTTTTATTAGGTATGTAGTATCTCATGAGTAGAAATATCATGGAAAAGGGGTTTTTTTTTTACTTTGAATAAGGCCTTAACACCTCCTAGAATTTTTGTCCTAGCTTTTTATGAAGGAACTCTGAAGATCGAGTCCAAAAACAGGTATCTTGACCGGGGTGATATCTAATTATATATTCTTGATCAATTAATTAATTTACTTACTTATTTAAAGCAAAATCAAGGATCCCTGTTGTTTAAAATTGTAAGAACTTCTAGTTTTCTTCTATTCTTCAAATGTGGTTGTCTCAGTCTCATGAAAAATCTTAAAAATTGTCACAATGTCAGGAAATCTCTGAAAAAACTTATTGCTTTTTTTTTTCAGCACATAAAAATGGAGCTAATGATTTATACTAAGTGCCTGTTTTTACCCATGTAAAATTTTACACCTCTATTTTGTGTCAATAAATTTTTTTTTTTTTTTGAAAAAATAGTAAGGAAAGATTCAGATCATCGTCAGCACTTATTTTATATTTGGAGTCAGAAAATGTAGGCAATCAATGAAATTCTTTACTGAAAGATAGTAATGAACGTGATTAGTAATTTACACCACACATTTGACTTGCCTCCTTTCATTATGAATTTAATATTTGGAAGCCTTAGGTATTCAGTCTACTCAGTTTGGTGTTGAAAAATTGCCCAGCTTTTATGTTTATTTTTCACCAAGCTATATGTTTGGTAATTTGTTTGGTTTGTGTTTTAACAATATTTGTTTTAAGAAATAAAATGTTCATAGTAACTTATGTATGCCATTCTCTTCCAGATTTCATTTTTCTCTCTGATCTCTAAACTGAGTCTTGACATCCCAAGCAACATAGATCCTAATATATATTAAAATACTTATTAATGGGAGAAAATTATATTTTTTTTCCCACAATAACTTACCACACTTTAATTTTAATGTTTCCACTTGAAAAAAGGAAAGATAGAATATCGCGAAGTAAAATTCCTCTATAACTGTAATTGTACCATAATTTTTGATTAGCCTTTGGCTGATCTATAATTACTAATATAGTTGCCAAAATTTTAATTGGTTCCCAGTTTTTAGACCATGAAGAACTATTTTTTTCATTTTTTAAAAAGAAAGATACTTGGGTATCTTGAAATATCTCTTTGTTTTCTTTTCATGCCAAACCTCTCAGAGCTTGGGACCGAGAGTCAGTCCAAAAAGTTTTTAGTGCTTTTCATAGACAATTGGCACAGCAGAAAGAACCTTATTTCCAAAAGATTTTCCAAATTTTGAGGTTCTGTAAGATTTCAATTTTTCGCTAATGAAATTTGAAAAAATTAAACAAGAAAAAAAATTGTTTCAAGCACTGAGAAAAAGTTACGATATTGCAAAAAATTTGCGATAATATTACGATATTGTTGCAATCTAATGCACCTTCACAGTTACAAAATGCTACTTGGGATTTTGGGACCAGCACTAGATTCTGGCACCTGATGCGTGCAAATAATATCAAATATGTAATTAGTTTATGAAATATGACAACTTTGTTCTAAATCATGAAGTTATAATCTTAAAACTTTGAAGAGTCTTGGAGACATTTTATTTTACCAGCTCTAGCTTATGGAAGGCCTCCTAAATTCATCCTGCAGGTTCTTGACAATTTCGTGAGAATATCTCTGAAACATGCTACATGCACCTGTAAGAAATTTCTTATGGGCTTGGGAGTTACTACCCTTGATAACAATCAAGGAAAACTCTGGGGAATCGTAAGAAGAAAGAAATCAACAAGTTGTAATATTAGTTAAAGCCATAATCTTTTTTCGTTTCTTTTTTTTATTTCTTCGAATTAGGAACAAAATATCTTCATAACAATATATACATCGATATCCAGCTTAAAATTTGCATTACAAGATCACATTGCTTTTAAGTTGCTTTTCTGATTCAACAACAATTAGCAGGAGAAATAGAATGCACCAGGTATTAGATCAAGAAACATACATGTACTTACACCCTGCTCAAATAACAAAACAATCTTAAGAACCATTATGATAAAGGGGGAAAAATGTATCCTAAGGCATGCTCCTGCTTCAATGAAAGTACCAGCAGGAACAGAGAAAGTAGAATTAAATTAAAATTACACTTTAATTTTAGCTGTGAGTCATGACAAATATTAATCAGGAAAATGATAATAAATGATTAATAAGCAATAAACTTAATCCACGTTACCATCAAAACTTGATACACTGTTAAAGACAAAATTCTGTTATGTACTTTGAATTTAATTAAATAACACTAATACCACTTGGATTATGTTCAATAGGATTAAAGCCTCTGAAAGTATTCTTTTTGTAGCTAAAAGATTCGTTGCAATATCTGCCAGAGCATGTTTGACCTGATTTTCTTCATTCAGTGCTCCCAAATTTAAATGGCAGTTGGAGCTTTATCTAAAAGCCTGCAAACTGCTGCTAATCCACTTATACATGGGTACATTTGCCTAGACAACAATGACACTGCTGGCAAGTACCAGACACACAGACAAGTAAATCGATTCCTTTCGGTAAAATTCTTCTTGGTGGTGTCACATTAATGTTATAATCCATCAACCTGTTGCATTCACTGATAAAAATGACAACATAATATTTTCAATCCTATATAAAGTGTCTCCTTTTGGGCAAAGACAGTACTTTTTCTTAGGCAAAAATGTGCGAAACTATCCGTTAAGATTTTCAATAAAGTCCCATTAAAATTGGCTAAGAAAATTTTTGCTGTCAAATTCTGACAGATGAATGGCTAAAACTGACAAATCCAGCGTTGAACAAAAGAGACAATTCTGAGACATGCCACTTTAAATTGAGGGTAATGATGGTCATAGTGCGAAAACACGTATCTTCGTTTGAAGCGTGGTATTTAGCGTGTGTCATTCTTATTTTTCACTGGGAAACCAGTCAATGGAATTTCTTTAAAACTTCTTGATTTTTTTTTGTCAGCAGAATATTCTGTAAAGATTCCAAGCAACGAAGTTAGCTTGTTTCTCTCCAAAAAAATACAATAGGAGCCAAAATTTTGAAACAATGAAACTAAGATAAGTGGTTTCGCACTTTGACCACTAAAATGCCTGACTGTTCAATCTTTTACAAGAGAAAAATTCACAATGCCACTATAATTTTCGTACAGACAGGTGCATCTCAGCAGCACAAGTGTGTTTGTATCTAGATATTGGTTGCACATATTTATACCTCTACCTAAAGAAGGAATTGGCTAAAGTGTACAAATCATGGTACCTATTTTTTCATAACTCAATGTAAATTAACCTGGGCTAAAGGTTCAAGGAGTCTGGTGATACAAGGGCTTACAAAAGAAACAGCCCCCAGTATATGCGGCATACAATTACAATCGATTTAAACTTAAAAGCGTTGACATCTTAATATTTCCTTCCATTATTATTCTGTCTACACTTCAAGAGAAGTTTATTAAGGTTGTCTTAGAAAACGAATACAGATACACTCTTAAAACTGTCACTTCGGAATCTGAACTTTGAAACCACTCCTGGACCCTTGAACTCCTGTCTTATGGCCTGACAAGAGGATTTTCCTGAGCTGCTGTCTGACATTAGAATTCATATTTTTTTTTTTTTTTTTTTTTGATAGATCCTTCAACAATTATGCGAAATATTATCTTCAAAGGCATTTCTAGGTTAATAACTCAACAAATTCTGAGGGTTAAATTTTAAGCATTATTGTGTATTTTTCGAACCCTGCCAGCAGGGCAGAATAATACAAAATTGAAATTGGTATTTTATTCTTCTACTACTAGATTGAAAACAAATTGAATTGTTGGATTGAAAAAAAAAAATGAAAAAATGCTGGCTTAACTTATGGGTCATGGATCCTAATCGAAGTGTTCCAAAATTTTCACTAATATTTTAATTCTTATTGCTTAAATTTTTCAGGGAATATTTCTCAAACATAGGAGAAAAATTAGCAAAAGAATCACTTTGCTCAATTCACTTCTTTAAAAAAAAAGTGTAACAAAAAGTCTGCAATGCTGAAAACTGACATGCGTCGTTCCCAAGTTAACCAATGAAGTAGAAGCCTTTTGTGCGGATCATGAAAGTTTCTAGTGCAGCGACTCAGCAAGTTCTTTCGTCAGAGGGGGAATTTCTCTCGGAAATTTGAAAGACAAGGGTTTACATATTCTTATAAATTTGAGGATTCACAGGGTTACAGCGCATTGTTTATTGCGCATTAAATTTGGTGGCTGCAAGAAAAAAGACTGGACAACCAAAATGAACTGTTGTACCACAAACGCACACACACACACACACACCCTCACCCTCACTCACACACACATAAAAAAAACCATAAAAAGGTCATGAAGTTTATCAAATATTTAATTTCCAGTAAATTTCAAAAATTACGGAATATTTGAATGAAAAATAAGGGGAAACAGGTTTAAGATATTAACTAGAGGCAACATGGTTTGGATAACTTATTGAATTTTCTTCTTTAGAAAATCTATCAGATAGTTTAAATTCAAAATTCTGAGATTTATGCGGAACAAAGAAGTGTAATTACTAGTCTGAACGGTTGTTGATGAATTGCACTATGATGACTTACAAGGGGAGCTTCCCAAGTGTAACCGGAATTTCGAGTTGAAATTTCGCATGAAGATACTAGAGATGATTTTAGGGATGCCGTATTTTTTCGTTTTTTCGAATGGGGTCGGGAAAGCCCTCAAAAAAGGGCTAAAGATGCGGAAAAAACGCGTGCGCTAGCGGCACAAGGTAAACATAGGTGATAGNATTTCTGATTTTAAGATCAATTGACAGTTTTCCGTACTTACAAGGGGAGCTTCCCAAGTGTAACCGGAATTTCGAGTTGAAATTTCGCATGAAGATACTAGAGATGATTTTAGGGATGCCGTATTTTTTCGTTTTTTCGAATGGGGTCGGGAAAGCCCTCAAAAAAGGGCTAAAGATGCGGAAAAAACGCGTGCGCTAGCGGCACAAGGTAAACATAGGTGATAGAGGCTCACCATTCTTATCAGTTCCGCATGGCCAAACGGTAGCGTGCTCGCCTCGCAAGCGGGAGGACGTGGGTTCGGATCCTGACTACAGCCCGTAATTTTATTTTACTTTATGCTTGTTCATTTTTCACTTACTTTATTTTGCACCATTCTCTCCGAAAACCGACTTATGAGGTAGAACACGTAGTGACTGAAGATTTTTTACAAATGCTGATAAAAACTCGAAGTTTCCTCGGATTTAAACGTTATATATAATTGAATAAACAAAAACTCTAAAACTCACCAAATTTCGTCGCCAAGCTGAATTTTCGAAGTATCAGTCGAATCTGTATCTGTATCTGACTGATACTCCGGAAATTCAGCTTGGCAACGAAATTTGGTGAGTTTTAGAGTGTTTTGTTTATTCAATTATATATAACGTTTAAATCCGAGGAAACTTCGAGTTTTTATCAGCATTTGTAAAAAATCTTCAGTCACTACGTGTTCTACCTCATAAGTCGGTTTTCGGAGAGAATGGTGCAAAATAAAGTAAGTGAAAAATGAACAAGCATAAAGTAAAATAAAATTACGGGTTGCAGTCAGGATCCGAACCCACGTCCTCCCGCTTGCGAGGCGAGCACGCTACCGTTTGGCCATGCGGAACTGATAAGAATGGTGAGCCTCTATCACCTATGTTTACCTTGTGCCGCTAGCGCACGCGTTTTTTCCGCATCTTTAGCCCTTTTTTTGAGGGCTTTCCCGACCCCATTCGAAAAAACGAAAAAATACGGCATCCCTAAAATCATCTCTAGTATCTTCATGCGAAATTTCAACTCGAAATTCCGGTTACACTTGGGAAGCTCCCCTTGTTAGTTACACTATGAAAAAGCTGCTTTCAATTTTCTACAATTAAAAAAAAAAAAGAAAAAAAACAAGAGATATAAATAAATAAAATAAAACTAACTTCTTTTGGACCAACATTAAAACATCAAAGCTCATTTGATGATAGAAGATATCTATAACTATTGGTCCCTCACATACAGCAACCTACAAACCCAAAGTCTCTGGCAATGTTGTCAATTGTCTTCTTTACTTGTTAATGTACCATAAAATTCTACTACTAAGTAAAAACTTGATAATACCAGAGAGCTTGTCTGTTCCTTCACCAGTTCCCTCCCCCCCCCCTCCAACAATCATGAAGCTTTCACATGAATGCCCTAAATCATAAGACATTTGAACGCATCTCTGCCAAACGGAACTATGTATGTTATGGCTTGAGCCTTGTTATGCATACATTCTTATGGGTCTCAGGCCTCATGTCTTAATGCATCTTGTTCATTTTGGCAGAAATACGTCCATTTGAGTCATATCATGCCTGGTAATTTTGAAAATGGAGCACTAAACAGCATAAGAAATTAATCATTACAACACAAGTAATCTCATCCAAATTTTACACAGAACATGTTGAACGTAACAAAAAATTAACACATGATGGAGACATAAACGTTGGTGGTTTACATTGTAAACAGTGGAGTCAAACTTCTAGCTCGTGAAAATACCGTCATGAATGTTGGCCAAATTAGGCATGAAGAATGACCTAAGTTAGGCAAATAACTAGAACTTAGTTTCACATACAATTCGTTCCTCTTCTGATACACAGTATCTTTGATTTTGTCAAAAAAGTCGAAGCGCGCGAAAATTCTTCCATCGTATAATATACCATAAAAATTTCAGTGCTCAATTCGATTTGAGTGGACTAGGGTTTTTCTATGAGCAGGAAATGTGAATGAATGTAAACAAAAACCATTTTTCTCTTGCTCATGGGTTAAATTTAAAAAGTTGTAAGGCTTGTTTCATGTTCTAAATAAAATTTTAATAAGGAGACATGTCTGGGGCTCTAAATTTTGTACCCTGTCTAGTGATCCATTTCTCTTCCAAAAATGATGGGAAAATTTACTCTGAACAACTGTGATAGGTTTCCTTGAAAATACATATTAACAAAGAAAATATGTTAAATTATACCTTACTAGATTGACTGTAAAAATTTAGCGAAATAGTTCCTTCTACATCTTCAAAAGATTGTTGAAATGCAATTGTGGTTGAATGCTTGTTTTTTACCCCTTTAATGAACATATTTAGTACAAATAAAAATGCATTGTAAGTAAACAAACCCATAACGTTGATGAATGTTATAGAGGATGCTTCAGAGATCAAAATTTCACTACAAATATATAATATTATAAATAAGCGTACAAAATAAAAAAGTTGTGGGATTGTTTTTAGATCAAGAAAGTATTTTTTTATCGACCATTTTCTCCAGTTACTTTTTTTTCTTACACACTGTTTTGCCAAAAGATGTTTCTGTTTTGATTCAGATCTGATAGATTGCACTAATGATGGCAACCATCCTTTATGCAAGATGCCCTTTTTTATTTTATACCTTCAAAACGATGAAAGATGTATCAATTCTAGAGGAAGTTGCTGATTTTACATAGGTACTCTTACCTTCGATGACAGTGCGATGACCCTCTTTTTTTACTGTAAGAGAGTTCCCCTTAACATTGACAAAATTAAGAGAAAAAATTACATTAATTGGATTGCATTTTGCAAAAAGGAACCACTAGCATTGCAATGATGCTAAGATTGTGCAACTTCATCTTTTGCAATAAAATTACGGAAATTGTGAAAAACTATGAAATTTAGATGGTAATTTTTGTCTTAAATTTACAGTTTTTAGCGAGTAAAATAGAAACTATTGATGGATAACCGGGTTTTTCCTCCAAGACAAAAGAAGTTGCACAATCTTAGCCACATTGCAATGCTAGTGGTTCCTGTTTGCAAAATGCAATCCAAATGATAGTAGTGGATCAATGAAAATAATGGTTACAAAAGTTTTCGTAAAAAACGTACATGAAAATGCAAAGATTTTCGATTCCAGATTGTTTGCAGAAGTTATTTGAAATGCGAAACAAATTTTCCAAGATTTACACTTCAGGGTAAAGGAGTAAAATTTGAGATTTTAAAAACAAACTCGAAAATTTACACTAAAATAGCCACATACGATACAAAAGGTTTTTTTAAAGCTTGATGATAAAAGTGTATTACAGGATTTCTTGACTCAAGAGCACCACTTGAAGAAAAATATGTTTCTAAGCAGCATTCATAATTCTAAAAAAAATTGATTCACATTAAAAAGGAATGATTTGAAGTATTTATAATAATGCACAAATAAACATACAAGAGTTCATCTCAACTAATATCTCCCAAAATTCACTGACAATTGCACAATGTGTTTTTGCCCCCTTTTCTACCATGACAGAGAAAATATGATGTACTTCCAACACCTCAACTTTGAACACCCAAAACAAAAATTCTAATCACTATAAAGAATGAGAGGTGGGGTTGTAACAACAAACCAGAAAGTAACCCAAAAACAAAAACAAAAAAAAACTTCAACATGACACATGTTTCAGTAGCTTTTTTTATGATGCGAGATCATTAATTTGAAAAACATTTAAATAGGCACATTGCATATCACACAGTGGTTTACATTCATGCATCTGCGAATAGAGAACAATACTTTTTTGAGCTCTGCAAAGGTTCATTCACAAAATGTGTGTGTCCTCCCTTTTAATAGGGTAAGTTCATTTGATTACTTTTCTTCCATTCTTATTATAAATTGAAGATACCTATCCTGTAACATTTTTTTTATTATCGAGAAAGACATTTTTCCAGAAAAATTTACAGATTTCATACATTGGTACTTCATGTCTTCTGGGCAGAGTCTAAATTTTACTCCCTCCATGTTGAATAACTGACAGATTTTGAAAAATAATAACTTTGACAGACGTATGTATTATAAATTCATCATGATGCTGGGTCAAATGATTTTAGATCAACCAAAAAAAAAAATTCCAGCAACTTCCTGCAGCCGTCATTTCCTAAATAGATGTTCTGGAATTTTTTAAATTGAACCATTTCTAAATTCAAGTTTTAGTTCAAAGTATTTTCCCCCAGTTTCCCCTTCATTCAGTTTTTTGTAGACTTTATGGGCACATAAAATTAGATTGTACAACTGTTCCTGTCATGACATTTGATTCAATAGTGTTTAAACGAGTTTGACTCCGGAATAGAACTGAGAATTAATATTTATAGTATTGACACATTTTGCTAGATTTTGATAGACTGTCTGAAAATCGATTTCAGTCACCTTTGATGACGTTTAAAAATTAAGAAAGGAAAAGATCTCACAAAGCTGAAACACGTTTTTGTCTGGTAAATCTTTCGGCTTAAATTACAATTAAACACTAAGTGATAAATCTCAAAAATTGAGAAATTGAATGATGGAGACTTTGAAAGCTCAGAAGAGGAGTTGAATTGTATTTATTTCTTTAATTTTGGAGTACAGAATTTCTCTAAAAAAAAGACGTAAAAAAATTCTACACAAAAAATATGCAAGGGACAAATCTACAGGTTTTGTTCATTTAAATACTTCAATGTTGCTAAATTGTTGACATACAAAAAATCTCCGTCCATCACAGAAAAACTGAAAAATTAATATTCATTCTCATGGGCTGCAATAATTTACAACACATTATAATATGTTTTGGTGCTGTTTGAATAAGTTTTCATCCCTTTAACGATGAAAACTTACAAGAACTACAGCAATCTGTTCCAGATAAAACTTTGATTTCCACATTGGACCTTAAGAGTCCTTACCGGAATTGTACTTTAGATAGATTTATGCGCTAGCAATTCAACAAACATGTTGGGAGAGAAACAAATTTTCAGTCCCGGAAGGTTAAAAAAAATAACCTTTACTTAGAAGTCATGAGCTTGAGTTGTCTTTAGTTTTGTGTAGAAGACCGTGTAAACTACTCGCGCCAACTGATGATGTGGATTCTTCGAGAGAGTCAAGATCTAATGCTGATTCAATCATTGTTGTATCTTGCAACAAGCGTAACCTACTGGCACTTAACGGTTGATTGCTGCTTAGCCAGGGTGAGTCTTTGTCATCAAAATGGTCCATGTGTGAATTTGGAATAATTACATCGTCTAAATCTAAATCCATGTTTGTGATATCAATAGGTGGATTACAACAGGGATTCGTGGACATATCATTACCGAGATTACAGTCCACAAGACCAGCCTTTGATTGAAAACTTGTATTATTTGAGAATTGAGGTCGTTTATTTTGCAACGTTGGGGCAATAACAGAGAGGGAGGTGGACAGATAGTTGTTTGGTTCTTTCTTGGATTGGCTGCTTAAAGCAACATAATCTAATGGATTTAGGAGGATTTCTTCACCTGATGGCAACGTGGCTGGTGAGGAGACGGGAAACTCGTTTAAAGGTATTGTCGTCATTGACGTATTGAATGACCTGCTTGGGAGAGTTGAAGCAGGGTTCCCGAGAGAGGGAGACGTATTCAGAAATGTTGAGGGAGGGTTCATGTGAGTCGGAGAAGAATAAATTGAACTAAGAGGTAAAACGGTTGACTGTCCTTCTGGATTTTTTGATTGATTGTATCTTTCCAAATAGATATCTGAAAATAAAGGGAAACAATATAAATCAGCAAAAGTATCCAAGTAAATACAATTAGAATATTACATACACACTAGAATATTACGAGTACATACATGTTTGGATTTGAACATTCTGGAAATTGTACTAAAAAATTAGAGGTACAGAAAAAAAAAAGAATATCATTGGATAGGGGCCTGACTTGAGTTTATATTGGGGTTGTGAGAGCTAAAACGTGAAATTTAGGGGCTTATTGTAAGGCCTCCTCAATACTGAACGTTTTTCCACCATTATTTGCGAGTTAGACGGATTGTATCTTCAAAGCGATGAGTTTCCACATAGAAAAGTGGAAAGTGTACGGCATAGGTGAATAATATATGTATTAGAATAAATAAAATTTGATGCTATGCTCCATAATGTAATCAGAGAGACTTCTTGATATATTTTGCTAATGATAAGGAAGGTGCAGGTGGTTCTTGCCAACCATAATTTAACAAGCTATCATAGTCGAGAAAATATTAAACTGTTTTAAAATTGCCTGATGTCTGTAGACAATTTATTTCCTGTACAAAATGAAGTATTTTGGCAATATTGCACTGGGGTATTTCTTTCTTCACATATCTCAACTCAACTTTCTCTGTTTTTATCATTCAAAATCTAGTATGGTTGCACAAAATTATTTAAAAATTTCTGGCTCAATTTGTTTTAGGGGCATTAAAACAGTCATCTATAAACTCTAGGACCGCACACTGTGAACAAAATATTGATAGAAAGCTTATGAAGATGAACACACAAATAAGTGATCATAAAAGATCAAAACAAAACAGAAACAGAGGGGTCAAACATAAATTTAGAGAAGGCAGAATTTTAGAGAAGCCAATTGCATCAACCATTAAGACAGGGACTCAATCAGTCAGGCTCAATATGAATGAATACACACACATGTAATCAGGATCAGTCTACATGCACACAACGCTGCCTAATTTTCTTTAATGTTTTATTAATTTTAGTTTAAACCAAGCCCAAAGTCTAATCTTGATGGTCAGAGCTTCCAAAAAGAGGCCTAGACGGATCAACTTATAGTTGAGTGAGCAAAACAAGGAGTTGAATACACAGCAGGAATTAGGAAGCAGGAAGCTAATCCAGCAAAACCAAAGGAGCCTTGAGACGGGAGATTTCAACAGCAAAATTAATAGAGGGTCCTTCACTTGCAAACCTACAGGGGGGAGGGGGGGGATCACACCATGACTAGTAATATCCACAACAGTATATGATCCCAATTTGGGTTTTAACTCACCAAGGAATAAATCCAAATCTCACAATTCCAGAAAATGCATTCAGGAAAGAAAAAAAATATTAACACAACAAGGTAACAGGATATGATAAAATATACACGAATAAAAGAACAAAACAAAACCCTTAACAGGCTAATTAATCACATTGAGATGTACAGGATGATCCGAAAGTCTTGCACCACACCTGTAATCCCTAAGTTTTTTGTTCCTTTTCAGGGTGAGCCCTTTAAAATTTTAGGAGTTCGTGTTCTATGACCTGGGAGCGATCACAAAATTTCTCTCTACCTCAATTTGGCTAAAAGTGACAGGGTGCTAGCAATGCGGGACTTTTGAATCACCCAGTATGTTGGTCATAATGGAAAACAAAGCTAATCTCAAAAAAGAGTGAACTATAACTACTATTCCCAAATGAAAAATCAAAGAGAGATATGATCTTGCTCTTATTTTTAAGTTGAAATTCTGAGCAGAACTAGACACTTTCTCCTTCACTCAAAAATTGATACAGTGATGACAATTTTAATGAAAATTGAAATTCTACCACATAGGACTTTTTGAAAAACATTAATTTGTCAATACTCATTTCCAAAGCACTTTCATGACTTGAAAATATTGAATTTGCCGTGGTGAGATCGTTTGATTGTCACCCCATGGCTGGAGTAATTGGACTTCTTAAAGACTACAATTTCTGACTCATCTGTAAAAGCACTTCTGTGTATAAGGAAACTAATGGTGCATACGTTGTTTCTAGACTGAGCCAGAAATTGTAGTTCCAAATTGCAAAAATTAAGTCCTATTACCAGGCAAAGCTGGGTATCACTGAGCCTATCACGTACAGGATTGTGATTCCTAAGCGCATGCAACACCACTTTGGGTCATTTAGACAAGTTTTTAAACTGAACTTTTTGCAAAAGCAAAATTCAAAGAACAAGAATATGTTTAAAGAACGAGTTTTAGACCCAAAAGCGAGAGCTGCATAATGAAAGAACTAAGACGAAAGAAAAAATTGAGTTGACTGTTAGGAAAATGTTCGATGAGATATTGGAGAAGCAATGCCACAAAAATGTGTTCGATAATCCAGAACTTGATGTAAATGCATGAGATGCATCATGAACATTGTAAGGTACTTCAAGAAGCAACCCGACCTCCAAATTGATTTAGAGGGTATCGCGAATCAAGATTAAAGCATTTGGATTTAAAATTTGCCTAAAATAACATTTTTGTTAAAAACTGGAAGGCAGATGAATTTCATACTTTACCAAAATTAATTAAACTTGGTCAGTTTTGGAGAAAATGAGCTGACCTTGGCCTTAATCTACAGCCCCGGAGCTGATCTTTAAAAGGAAATCAAAATTCTGTCTCTGGTATTACTTAAGTGTTGCCTACTTTCAGGACAAGCTGTTTAAAAAATTATGGAAGAAAATGGTAAAAGAAAAATGGAAAAAGAAATGGATAATGGAGAGAGGAATACAAATAATAGAACACAGGGCACAATGGATCCAAAATTGAATGGCTTGTTTCGAAAAAAACCCAACTCTGAAAACTATGAAAATTATTTCAAAAACGAAAAAAACGAGTGCCGTTTGACAGCTTGCAAAAAAAGTCTAATTTCACGCAAAAAGTATTCTTTGCACGTTATCAAAAATGGATTTGCACAGGTATTGCAAAAATTCACGGAGTGAAAAAAGAGGTAATGGGACGGAAAATAGTTTGCGTGAAAAAGGAACGTTCAGGACAGAGAAATAATTCTTACACGATGAATAAATGGGGAAAACATTTTCTTACCAGTTGAAACCTGCATGTAAATTTAAATAGTAGCAACTATGGGAATATGTTTTCAAAAATTTTGAAAATCAAGAAACACGCTCTTGAAATTGCTAAATTTATAATGTTTGTGGGTATAAATCTTGCACCAACAAGGCTTGCTTTGCTTTTGCCGGCCGCCTTCTTTTCTGCTTTTGACTCAAAAGAATGGTCTTAGCCTCTGGTAGAGCACTCACTAATTTTGGGCGGATTTTAATTCCCAATGCATGCTTTCCAAGATTTTCTTTTATTTAGGGAAGTAAGGACATGTGCAATGGAATTTAGATGTATCGTTTCCATTGATTGAGTTGGTCCAAATGCTGTAATTGCTCTCCTTAGAAGCTGCTGCCACACTTATCTACATTCCTGACTGTCCATTTAGCCCTTAAATGTCACTGATTGTATAGTTGGACTGCTCTTGTGACAGCGGCTAAAGTTGAACGTCTCCCATAAACGGTCCACGGCCTTAAACGAGGATGGGCTTTGTTCTGTGATGCTCTCAGGCATGGTGCAGGCGACTGTGAAAAATCTTCAATAGACAGTTTCAATACTTCCTTATTCATTGAGGCCCATTGGTATACTGATGTCCATTCCTGTAGTGAAGCAGTTCATTTGATTTATTTTGGCGTTTCAGCTTGAGGCAAAATTCTGCTATGTCAACCAATAGTGCCGTGCTAGAAATACCATGCAATTGAATACATTTTGCGTGCGGTCAGAATATTTTTGTAAAAGAAAAATTGTGTGCAAATCACGTTTTTTGTGTGTGCTTCATAACTCCCCGGAAAAATGCGTTGAGACCAAAATTTTTCGTGGGGGTGACAAATCCTTTGAAGTATGTTCAGCAGCTGCCAAAGAGAGCCTAATAGGCAAACGGACGATGCTTTAGCTGTACAATTGGTTAAATTTTTAATTTTTAAAATTGGGCAGTTACCTTGATAAAGTTTTGTCGAACAAAAAGAGAACAAACAGTTGGGCAGTTTTCGAAGCAAGACATTGAATTATCAAAAACAAATTAAGGATTAGAGCTGACTTCTTCATTGCCACTATTAGGCTACAATATACCAAACTAACAGAAAGTGAAGAGCATTCTTTGGTTCTCAACTTCCTGACATTATTCTTCCATGAAAATCAGCATTAATCCATATGAATGGTGGTTTACTTCCGTGAGAGTGCAGCAGTGCAAGATTAAAGTAGCCAAATAGTGCGGTAAAAGAGAGAAGAAAGATTGCAGGATGTTTTGATACCAGGATCAAAGCAAGACTGTGGGCAGATACAAGCCTTAATGATCTCATGTCCACTTTGACTAATTTCATGGTTGACAAGTGCTCACAAAAATTAAGCTGTGTCTTTGGATGAAAATGTACTCAGTTGGTAAAGGGCTAATAACAAAATAACAGCAGAGAAAAATGCTTTGAAAGAGAAAATAAGGAAATGAGTTTTGTTTTGTTATACGTGGAAGAATCACCAATTTTACGAGAAAAAAGGTTTTGAATTTGTAAAGAACTCATTGGCCTTGCACAATTTCGCGATGGTCTATTCAAAGACTTTTTAACGACTGCCTGGCCATGTTTATGCTAAAAGGGGCTATGTACAAAGGGTTTGCATTCTTAATAGTTCCTTTTAATTTGACTGATGTTTAAATAGTTCGTGTTGGCATGAATGCGTCCAACTGAAGTAATTAAGGTAAAAAAATTGAATTATTTTAGCAATGTCTTCATCCTCTTTGCATTTCTTGATTTTGTTTTCTCACAAAATGAATGTGTACGAGGCATTGAAAATTAATGGAAAAATTCCATAGGAAACAACTTTTACTGATACTCTTAAAATAAAAAATAGTAAAAAAACAACAGCTTAAAAAAAACTAAAATGAATTGAAAGTCTTTTTCATCAAGTGGTGAGAAAGTAAAAATTTTAGAAAAGGAGGATTCTATGAGGGATATGAAATTAACCTTATGATAAAACTTTATTGCCGTGAATTCATCATGATTCTAATTGAAAGTAGAAGACGTTTTGGGAAGTTTATAATCAGCTCAAACAGAGAGTCTATAGACTCCTGACATGAATAAAATTTTCTCACAATTCCCTGTTTTTCGAGTTTTCCAGATGTACAGACACCCTGTCAAAAGAAGAGCCTTCCACACAAAATTTATCATAATGTAGAGAGACATGAAACTGGTGTCTTCTTGATATTGGTAAAATGACTATGATTTATACTGATCCCCTCAAAACTGAAGATAAACATATCAAAGATTGGGTAATAAAATGGGCAAATTAACAAAATTTAAAATTATAAATTACAAAAGAGACTAGAAAAGGAAAGTAATACATAATGAATGGAGTCTCTAGCGTAATTAAACAAGCTTGAGAAGAATTTATCAACCTTAACATTCACTAATCAAATGCATTAAACAACCTTCCAATCAAATTAATCATGATTAATCAAATGATAAAATGTAAGTTTTGATATGAAGTTGAACAAAAAGAAAACATCCCTAGATGGTAAAGAGAAAGAAAACAGATCTGATACTTTCATTCTGTTTGATTTCATCAGTTAACAGCCCTCACTGCGATTACTCCAGATCTAGTAGTCATTGGCAATAATAATTGAAAGTTTCTAAATTTGTTTTTTCAAAACTGGATTTCATCCCTTAGCACTCTCAGAGGCGTACTGAAAATTTGAAGGATAAAATCATTGTTTAAAATGCACTTATTTGTTTAAATTTTAGAGATTCAAAAGGAGATCTCTTGTAACGATTGCCTAAAATACATACAAAAAATGAACCGTACTGACTCGGATTTTTAAGGACAAAGAGAAAGCTGCACTAAGAGAATACACGGTCTTGGCTTTGATAAATCATTCCTTCTCATTACCCGTCTCGCTATCATCGCTCTCATGACCATAAGTAAAGTTCAAAGTATTCAACTTGCTTCCATAATTTGGAGCTGTTTCGCTGCACCGATTTTTTGGATAGACGATGCAGCTGTTGTTGGGGTACATCTGAAACACTTCTTGATGGTCTAGAATAGCTGATGATGAGGTAGAAGGCGAATAAAAAGGATTATTTAGTAGATAGGGGTTTTCCCTGAAAAATCTATTCGTACTGGAATGATGCTGACTCCCTCTATGAAAGCTACGAGGAAAAGTTCTCAGAGGGATATTGTTGATCAAACACCGAGAGTCAAAATGAGGGGCGTGATAACGACTCCGCCTCAATGGCAGACTAGCATGGTAGTAATGAGTAGAGGGTGGCAATGCCGAGGGAAACTGAAAATCAGGTTTCCTCAGCCTTTGCTTATGACTAGGATTTGGATAGTTGGGTCGACGGTAAAAATTTATGAAATTGCTGTACGCACCATTGATTGGTGTGTCAATTGAGATGACTTTTGGCACTTCGACTGCTTTTTGATGGCAGGCTCCTCCGCTCATGCGCGGGGTGACTGGTGGATACATCGACCCAGCATCTACCATTTTTCCATCATATGGTTTCTCTGAGGTAGACATCATTATTTGATCTTCACTTGGTGACTTTGATATGACTTTAGAGTCTCCATCTCTTGAACGATAGACATCAGCCTGCGAGAGAGAGAGAGAATAGGTGAAGATGTTACAGAACTTAACTTTCTTCTGCAAAGTTAACAACATTTCATTGAAGCCTTGGTTCACATTTTTTTCTAATTAGCATTGAATGGACCACGAGACAGGGTGCAAATCAAATTTTTACTAAAATTGCTCTTTTCAAAAAATTTTAAGCAGAGCAGTTTGAACATCTCAAAAATTTTCAAGTAAAGTTTTTTTTTCCAAAATCACAGCTCCTTAAAAAAAATATCTAAAACCTTCATATCCCATATGTACCGACAGATCTCTAAAAATACTGCAACTTCAAAGAAAGGACTACGTTTATTCAAGATTGGCTCTGGGTCGTGAGATGAGTGAGAGATATTAAATGTATCTTATTGTAACACCCATCTGGGATTCTCTCTGAATCTGTAAATTTAAAAATTAAAGTCCCTTTATACTTAAAACAGTAGATACTTTATTTGCAAGAGCTGGAAGGGAGAGAATAGAGATGTGTTTTTCGTTCCCCACTCATTTCTCTTCTCACTTCACCTTTCAGCTCTCCCAGAGCTGCAAAAAAGACAGTAGCTAGTGGTTATAATTAATTAGTGATAACAGGATAATATACCTGAGATGAATACCGATCAATGGTCGAGGTATGAGCAGGTTGTAGTTCTGGAAGTTTAGTTGAAGATATTGTGATCCGATCAGCTTCATATTCTGCTGTCACAATGCCTCGTCTGTCTAGAAAATTAGAAACATTTTTCTTCAAAAATAAAGGTTAAAAATAATGGAAAAATTTAAACAAAGCCTTAAAGATTGAGGCGCACAGAGTTGAGAGAACCTAGAAAATAGAGGCATTTACAACCTAGCTGGAAGACAATGGAACAACAGCATAAAAAAAGTATGTTTTGCAAGAATGCATTCTATGAAGATGGTAGTACATCTATTTGAAACACCTTTTGATCAAACGGTTCTTTTCAGATCTTTAAAATAAAATCTGCCCTTTATAGAAAATATAGAATCTTGAAGCCTACAAAGAGAGAGGTTCATCAAAGTTAAACATGTGTTGAGGGTACACTGTAGTTTTCAAAACTATGAGGAGCCTAATACTTCAAATTACTTACCTATTAAACTAGGAGGGACAGGACCGCACAAAACAAAACAACAATTAGAGCACACATTCCCATTACTGTAAGGATTGAAATTTGAGCGCTCCCGCTTACTCGTGAATGATCCTTTTATCTGTAAAAAAAGGAAAAATAATAAAAGCATACAAAAAAAATATAATTGGGGAAGATTTAGGAAAGGACCTTACAACATAACAGCAAAATGGGCCTACACACAAAATCCTACGACTTTCTCGGGGATGAAAGAGGGTCTTCCCAGACACTTAAAACTGGTCATATTTTTTGCCTAACCCCCAAGGAAAAGGGGGGGAGTCAAAGTCAAAAACTTTAAAGTAGCATAACTTCTGAACGGTTTGTCGTAAAAAAATGATCTTGGTGTCAAAATTTCTAAAACACTGAGAGCTTTCAGAGTATATGTACGAAATCAATAAAATTTTAAATTTTGACCCACTTTTGGGGGAATTATACAAGGTCCCCCTTTCGTAAATTTTCGTTTTTCGAGATTTACGGTCGTTCTGTTTGCATAAAGCAAAACAAAAAACATCCTAAATGAAATTAGAGGGTTTAAGGTTTATAACAAGCCCAAGTTCATCTTGGGGAAACGTTTAGAAGCGGAGTTGTGAGTCTTCAAAGTTGACGCGGCGCGCAGGAACCTTGTATGTTCCGAGTCTCAAGGTCACCTGTGCCCCCTGGATTACCCACAGGTTGCAAGTTTTTGCGTTTTTATGCTTCTGTGGATCGTTTTTAATGTAAATCATTCAATGAAGATAGAATAATTGGAATTTTTGAATTTTACGGGAGGGGCGAAGGGGGGCTCGGAGTATCAACCATTATGTCCATCATACCTCATTAAAAATTTGCTGACGATGAAGATTTTGCTCTCACAATTTAGAGGGAACCATGGACCCTCAGTTCAAATATACATATGACCCATACAGAACTGAACCATTTCGAAATTGTAACCCATTGATGCCAAATTTTGGGGTACCCCTAATTTTAAAATTAAAACTTTAAAACTATAAAATTAAAAAAAAAAAAACTAAAAATTTATGGGCAAACAAATTTAACTATGTCAACAAATGTTTGTCTGGTGTAGTCCCTTTGTAGTGGAAAAAAAAAGATTAAGAAAATATTCAGCATTTCAGCAGTGAATTGATAGATAGCTGACAAATTTGTAATTGGACTGGAAACAATAAAGAAAAGTAGTTGGAAGAAAACTTCTTTCCTACGGCTGCAGAAAAAATGGGATTCTCTATGTTAAAATGCTCTTGAAACAATTCTCAGAGGTAGACTTATAACCTAGACTTACTTTTTCTGCTATGACGTACATAGAAAGGAAAAATGCATTCATTTTTCAAACATGAATATTAAATTCTGACAAAGAAATCGGAAATGATTAGAGGTGTTGAATACATCAAGATCCGACAACTACATGAATACAGGGTGATAAAAAAGTCCTGCATCAAAAGGACCAGGCATCGCCTCTGAAACTTTTGAGCAAATTGAGATGGATACTTGAAATTTAGTGAGTGCTCCTAGGTCAAAGGAAACAACTTTCGGGAACCCTAAAAATTTTAAAGGGACCACTCTAAAAAGAGTCAAAATTCAAAGGAGTTACAGGGATGATACGGGACTTTTGGATCACCCTGTATGATAAAGTAAGAGGAAAATCTGGTTTTCGCTGCAAAGTTTCCCATTATAGCCCATGGTAAATGGATGAAGGGGGCAAGAATCTTAGACATGCACAAGTATTTAATAGAAATAAAACATAGTAAATTGCTTTACTAAAAATCAACTAAAAAAAGATGAAATTGAAAGGATAAAGGAGAGAGCTGAAGTATTCATAAAAAGACAGAGGTAAGTTAAGTAATTAGTAGAAATTCTCAAGCAGACAAGACAAATTAATCGGACCCAACAAAAGAGTCTTCGATAAAATTTATCAAAGCAAAGGCTTGGGTTAAATTACGTTAGACAACACCAAGGAACAAGAGGGAAGACGACACCAGGGAAAAAAATTTAAGACTCACATCTTCATTTGTTGTTTGATTAGATGCAGCTAAGTAAGTGTGGAAGCCTGCTAAACCAAGCACGGTCCACACACTGAAGAACGATACTACTAATACAATTAAACTAGCAGGCGATTCCGATATAGCAGTGATAAAAAGTTTTCCATCGCTTACTGGAAAATAAAAAACGATTGAAATACGAAAAATCTAGATTGAAAGAAATGGATCACTAGAAATGATAAGAATTGAAGAGCTGCAAGATGCATTTCCTCATTAAAACTCTTGAAGAATAGGTTTCACAAGCTTTAAAAGTCGAAATTCAACTTACACATGAGCAATCGGGATTAATTGTTTCATTAAAATCAGTAAATTCGAACATTTCGAATATCCATCACACAAAGACCAGCATAGATTCATTATGATCGTTATACATCTTACAAATAACTCAAGTTTCATTTCCTATAAATTGCCTTCCTCCTTTTACACACAAAAATTCTGACGTTGTCAGAAAAATTCAGTTCACTGCTAAGATTATTTGATTGAAAAACACTTCAAAATCAACTTTGGAATGACGAACTTGACTCAAGAGGACTATGGTTTTTTTTACTGGCTGAGAGATTTTGAATTGTTAATGGGAGAAAACGCATATTTCTCAATTGTGAGTTGAATTTGCAAATTTTACATGTTTTTCCATTGTCTACATGAAATTTTGATGTGAAAATAAGTGCTGTGGTACTTAGTTTTTAACACTGTCTCGTGATCTACAAAACAACAATAAGATAACAGCTACGCGCCCTTTCTTTATGGTGAGACCTATCGGAATTAGACCTAACTGGATTTCTGTTAAAAAAAAAGATAAGATTGTGGCAGCAAGAAACTCAAAAATGTTGAGGATGAGCGAGGTAAGGAATGAATTTCAGACCTTGCTTGCTACTGCCCAGAGCCAGGAGGCACTACAGAACAAATACTTTAAACACATTCTGATAACCAAGTAGATAAAAAATTTAGCAAGAAACTTGTTTCCAAGCTAAAAAATGATCAGAGAAAATTCATTAAAAAAAGCGATAATCCAACATTGCAGGTTTTAAAAAATAGGTGATGACTCTCAAATGCTAATTAGACTCCACACACTGCTGATTTTACATGATCAAGTCCAGTGTATTTTACTTCTCAGGGTGTAAAAGTAACAGCAATTAGAGTTGCATCACTATTTAAGAGTTCTTGCATAGGTATATGTTTTTATAAAATCCCTAGTGTCAGATAGTTTACTAAGGCTTTTATAAGCTCAGAATAAAATCTTTCACTACATTGCTGCAACATGGATCAAGTAACAGCGCAATTTTAGGAAAAAGCCTAACTGGATATTAACCGATTTGTAGCTAACAGATTTACAAGTCAATGGTGCTAAAGGTGATTCCATTTGCAAGCACAGGGGCTCAGTGGAGTTCTTACATGTAACAGGAATTTGCGTTTTAAGTATTTCTTCTTGTGTAATATTTTGCCAGAAACCGACAGTGGCATTGGTTTCCTTAAAAAAGTTATCCAAGTCTAGAGCGTAACATAGGGATCCCTCTACTACAGCCTGAACTTTGAGAGCTTCTTTGGAGCTTGGGATTTGATTTCAGACACAACCAGTGTCAACATCGTATTTATTACCAAATTTTACAAAAAAAAAAGGTACTTGAACTGCAAATTCCTGACACATGCAAGAACTCCATTGGTTTTAATGAATGCTGGAAAAAATGGAATAATTACATGAAGCTTAAAAAAATAATTTGATTCACCCGTTACTGCCAATTTAATAACCATACGCAGTCAACTTACATAATATTCATGTGTAGTTTTGTTGGAAAAGGTAAGGTAAAGGTGGAAAACACTGAGGACAAGGACAGGGATTATGGTGCCAACACAAAGCAACGCCAAAACGGCGGTGACAGGATTTTGTTGGATTGAATCTTGAAACAACACATGGCAATCTCGCATGTCTAAACAGAAGGCAACACTCGTGAATATGGATTGGAACTCAAATGGGACTCTAACCTATGAATGTAAATTTACTGCTTGGTATTATCAAAGTTTACCTTTCAATCAGGATTAGAACTTGGGTTTCTCTTTTATCAGGGTAATGTATTAATGGCAAAAGTATCAAACCCAGTATCTTAGTTTGGAATATTGCACATTTAATACCATGCTTTACTTTTCATAGTAGGGTCTGATCATCATTTGTGCGCAAACTTTTGATTGATTTTTCAACACTCTTTCAACAATACTCTCAGAAAATTTTTCGCAAAAAATTTTAATTCTGTTTTAATATTCTTTTGTAAAAATGAAAAATATGCCAAAATTTGGCGACGCTGCAATCAAGATCTTTGGTTCTCAGTAATTTCACTATCAATATGCTGAGGAGGGTAAAAGCTTACGCTATTTCACCATAGTGAGTGGTGAAAACACTAGCTTCCGAATTATTACTCAAATTTTCTTCCGTCCATGACTGATTATTCTTGGGTATTTTTGTAGTTTTTGCTTCTTGAAGTAGGATAAAATTTCAAAAATCATTTCAGTCTTAACTTTTTAGAAACATTATTGGACACAGAGAGTGTTAAAAACTTTTGGCACCTTCACAACCGGGAGAAAAAAAACCGAGAAAAAAAAAATTTAGTACACTAGAGCGAACCCAAAGAGTTCAAAATACAGCTTGACTTAATCGGATCTAGTAAAAGAGAGAAAGAGAAGAACTTACACAAAATAAGATGCGTCATTGTACATCCAAAAACAAACACTATATGAAATGCCAACGATATTGTGAACATATAAAAGTATCTATAATTCCTTTTTCCCACACAATTGCCAACCCAAGGACAGTGGTGATCAAAGTGTTCTGTAACAAAGGAAAACATCAAACTTGAGAAAAACTGAAACTAATTAGGTGTTTAAATGATCCTCAATGGCCCTTAAAGATTTGATATGCTAGAAATGATGGTTGCTGAATTTTTCTTTAAGATTCAAGCACTGATGACAGATGACCTACTCTGCTCCAGACATTTTTCAGACTGTTCTACCTCAGTTGATTCTTGACAGGGGAATTTTTTGTGTTTAAACCATCATCATTGTCTTGTGGTGATTTTAAAGTATGTGCCATTGAAATGCAATTCGAAGACACACTAAATTCTCTGAGATTTATAGTCCGGTTTACCAAAAGAAATAAAATGACAGGTGAGGCTGAAAAAACGATTACTTACCAACACAATTGTCGCAAATACTACAATGAGAAGCTCTGGGTGGCCGGAAAATTTTGCATGTTGAACAATACTTCAATTTAACTGTTTGTCCTTTGATGAGGATTTCTTTCGTTCGAGGGGGTGGTCGATGGGTTGGCGAGTTAGGATTATTTGGAATTTCTGAAGCAAAAAATATATAATTAAGTTCTTCAATGGTGTGAAGAGGGGG